TCTCAAAAATTTCTATTTTCAGTATTTAAGCTTTTTACATTCATATAGAGAAGTGATTATATTTGGAGTAAAATTGGTCAGCCGGAAGTGGTATTTTACTTGAAGCTCATAATAGTTTTTTATGAAAAAAACTGTGTTAAAATAAAATCTAAAACTTTTTAATTTTAGTATTTGAGACTTTTATATTAATGGGAACAACATACTAGATTTTGCTAAAAATGATAAACCGGAAATGATCCTTTATTTGAAGCTCTGAACAGATTTTCATAAAAACGTATACTATTATGATATACACTGGTGTGCAAAAATTAAGGACGAAGTCGAAAAATTTACATATCAGCTGAACGAAGAGGCAGAGCGGACAGAAAGACCAATCAGGAGATTAAGTAAGGTGATGTACGGTAGCACATGCGCAGATATGCAGGTAGACGTAATGGGGGAGTGTCTGAGTAGTATAAAGCATGTTGTCGGTGTAAGATCAGTATTTCTGGCAAAGAGATTGCACGCCGTATAGAAGTTAAAATCACACCGAGTTGCTGCCTCAGCGAGAAATGGCGAATAATCAATCTGTTAGACGACATCTGGATGCTTTTACCCGAGGTCGAATCCTTGGGAAGTTGGAGGAAGGCCGCAGTGTGACAAGTGTAGCTGCAGAGTTCGGAATTGCTCACAGCATCGTTTCACGACTTTGGAGACAATTTCAAACTATAGGAACAGCTATCCGGGGTTTAGTAGTGGTTCGTCCACGAGGAACCACACCCGCAGATGACCGGTATATTGCCTTACAGGCCAGAAGAAACAGGCGGCAGACAGCGGGAGAAATCGCTAGACACACGACACAGGCGACTGGACGACCGATATCGCGTTTTACCGTGGCCAGAAGACTGCATGGTGGTGGTCTGTTTGCACGACGCCCTGCACGGTGTGTACCTCTAACGCCTGCTCATCGGAGAAGGCGTTGTCTGTGGTGCCGGGAACACCGGAATTGGAGAGACAATGAATGGGGACGAGTACTCTTTACAGATGAGAGCAGATTCAGTCTGAATAGCGATTCTCATCGCATACTCATCTGGAGAGAGCGGGGAAGCCGCAATCATCTCTCGAACATCATTGAAAGGGACAGGTATGGAGGTGGCGGTGTTCTCGTTTGGGGAGTCATCATGCTTGGTAGTCGTACAGACCTTCACATCTTCGACGCAGGTTCAGTCAACGGTTCAGTCACGCCCGTTATTGTAACGAGATTTTCTTCTTCCATATGTGCGTCTTTTTAGAGGCGCTATGGGTCCGCAGTTTCTTTTCATGGACGACAATGCACCATGCCATCGCACAGTAGCTGCCGAACAGCTCTTAGAGAGTGAGGATATTGAACGTATGGATTGGCCGGCACGATCTCCGGATTTCAATCCCATCGAGCATGTATGGTATTTTCTAGGCAGACGCTTGGCAGCTCTTACCTTACCACCAGTAACGATTCCGGAGCTTCGATTGGCGCTGCAAGACGAATGGGCAGCAATGCCTCAACAACTCATTGACACCCTCATTCTCAGCATGGGCAGACTGTGAAACCTGCCTAGCAGTCAGGGGAGATCATATTCCTTGTTAAAGACCGGATGTTTCTTGCTGGACACCCATCACAGGGATGTTTCGGCCTTCAGTCGCACTGCGCTCCATGCTACCTTTTCAATAAGCTTCTTTTTATCCCTCTGATTTCTCTTTTAGTAAGTGTTGCTTACATTACTCATGTCCTTACGTATTGGGGATCTTACGGTATTAAATGTGTTGATTTGGAAAGCTTTTGTACAAAGTTATATTGAAAAAACCGTTTCGTCCTTAATTTTTGCACACCAGTGTAATCCAAAACTTCTCAGGTTTGGTATTTAAAACTCATATATGTATATACAGTCATGATTGAAAACAACATATAAGATGTGAGAAACTGGAAGAGATACGTGGAAATCTTATCAGAATTTCCCAGGAAAATATAGAATTACTATAATGAGAATTTTATTTAAAACTATGCAGTACGTATTAAGGTTATTTCTATTATATCCAGACATGGTTGTTATTTATATCATACCGCAGATGAAAAGGATTTTTTATAACAATGGTTTATTTTCGGGGCTTCTAAATTCTTGTAGTTCAGGCATATTACCCCCGCCCTCCCCCCCAAAAAAATTCTTTTGCACTGTTGATGATAACGAGGTGCAAGAGTAAACAACAAATTTGAAAATGCGTATTGCTTTGCTTCTAACTTATCCCAGAAAGCACGGTAGTCAGTTTTCAGCTGTTATTCCAAAAGCTAACGAACATTGCTTACTAATTTCGAAATATCGAAAGATATACCTACAGATCAAAATGAATTTAGATTTATTAATACTATAGAAATAATTTAGAAGAAAATTAAATTTGGTATTTGTTTCAAAGTGTTTATTTTGAATAGGCTTTAAACAGTTAATTTTCTTTGATTAAAAACCAATTAAATTGTATGTTATTTAACTGCCCGGTAAAATACAAATTTTTCCTAAAAAGAAATGAAGGGTAAACACTTCATTTTTTATACATAGTATAAAACAAATTTATACATAGTTTATACATAGTATAAAACAAAGTCGCTTTCTCTGTCCCTATATCCCTATGTATGCTTAAATCTTTAAAACTACGCAACGGATTTTGATGCGGTTTTTTTAATACATAGAGTGATTGAAGAGGAAGGTTTATATGTATAATAACATCCATTAAATAGTGGAGAAATACTGTTATTTTTGAGGTTTCTAATGTGATGTCGTAAATTTCTAATTATGTCACATTTTTTCCGCTTGCATTGCAAACGCAGGCTGAACCCTACGAGATTTATCAAAATAATGTACTATGTATTGTACACATTGAAAAGGTCTACAGATTTAAAAATTGCAGGACGTAGTGTTTGCGGCATGTACCGGCCGGCCGGGGCGGCGGGAGCGTGCCTATAAATAGCGCGTCGGAAGCCGCGGTTCTTCCTATAGCGCTTTGGAATTTAGCAGCGATCGGACGCGTTTATTATCGGAGCTCTCTAGCGAGGAAAATAACAATATACTTAATAAAAACGTGCTTTTCAGCGCGACAACGTATCAGTTATGCAATCACTGTACTACGCATTCACTAATGACAAGAAAGCTGTGAACGTTGTATATAAAGACATTCTGTAATTAATTATTGTAAAAATAAAATAAATAGGTAAAAATGTAAAAAGTAAATAAGTAAAAATGTAGTGTATGAATTTAGATATTCCAAAGATAGCAGGAAATCTTCATGGTTTAAGGAAAGGGGAATTGTTTTACTCCAAATTTAACGCGTGCGGGCCACGGGCAGTAATGAATATATCAAAACTACTGGATCGATTTTTATCATTTTTTCAGTGAGTGACATAGGCTATATATTTTATACCCGTGCGAAGCCGGAGCGGGTCGCTAGTACTGATATAAATTTAGAAAATCTACTTTTTATGCATGGCTGATTACACTTAATAAAATGCAATCCAAAATTTCATGTTAAAGACCTTTCTATTTATTAGAATAACAAATTGAATTTTGTTTTCAAATGACCAATCGGAAGTGATACTTAAAGCCCCCATCTCTATTTAAGGGAAGCATGGAACTGGAGTCGAATTTTCTTCCTGTATTAATATTCTAGCGCTTTTACTGCTGACTGATTTAATTTTAATGAAATATATTCTCTATCTAAGCTATAGTAACAGCCAAAGGAATATTCACTCACGAAGACCACACATTCTTTAAGAATACTTGATGTTCAAGAACTATGAAAGTTGAAGTTACTCTACCGAAATCTTTCATAAAAAGCTTCCTGTTTTGGGATATAGATAAAAAAGTTCAAAGCATAACGCGTACAATGGTTCACCTTTGTTTTCGGACACTTGTATTTTGAAATTTATTTGCATAAATTTTATCCTAAATATTGAAACTTGGGATCCAAATTTATTTTTTTCTTTGCTTTCAGACTTACCTGTTGCAAAACAAATATCATCGAAATATTACAACGAAATAATTTATTCTAAAATTTTTCTTGAAATTTAGAATGCAAAATACATTTAATTTCTATCATGATAACGATTCTGAACATACAGCCATAAATGTTCGCTTGTGGTTATTATACAATTGTTATTATACCTGAAGTAATCAAAAATCTTTGAAAGCTGTATTATAAAAGCAATTATGATGGACGAATGTAACAAAAGGCGATATTCTTACTCTAAAACATTTGTTAAATCCTTGCCCAAGCTCATGAAAAGTGTAATTTTACTTAAAGAATGTCTAACGAAGTTGTTGGGTGTGCAGTTGTTTTCACGTTTTTATTAAATATAAACTATTTATTCAAAGTGACCGAATATTTATGTGAGTTTATTTTCAGAACTTTTTCAACTGATATTTGCCACAAATGGGAGCCACTGTAAATACTACGGCACTCAGAAAGAGTGATTATCAACCGAGTAAAAGTCCATAAAAGCTACGGATGTAAAATCACCGTATTTTTATTAGTTCTTGCATCTGATATACTGGATGCTTTTTGTTATACGAAATAGTTTTCAATTTATTGTAAACTAAGAAAAGAACTTTATATAATCCAAACGTTTGGCTGATTTATTGGTCCAAGATATTGGATGGCATAAGATGGCCTTTAGTCCAGAGCATATATGAAAATATTCAAGAGATGAGCTTGCAAAAATGCTCAAGATGTTCCTTTAATTACTTTTTATCGAGAAGATGGTAATAATGCGAATGCTAGTGTTTTCAAATATATTATTTTGAATAATTAATTACCCTCAAAGAAATGCATTTCCAATGTTCGCTGAAAGCTGAAAACAATCATTAATGTGGTATACAATTTTAAAAAAGGACAGTGAATTCCTATTAGTTCTAAAAATTATTTTCTTTTAAATTTTAAACTCCAGTCTACATATTGCACAGTTAAACGAAATTTGTCAGACCAAAACGGGTGATGACGCAAGCAACGTCACTGCGGTAACTTGTCCTTATGAGAACTGGCATCGGAAAAATTCCGGTCCTAAGTTAACCTAAACGAAACGAAACTGGGCGTTGGTTGTTGCAGACTAATTTCTGCTAATCAACGAAAGGTAATTACTGATAATAATGCCTAAACAATATTTATGAAGTTTATGTTCATTTTGCAGACATTTTTTATATGAAAATTGTACGAAATTTGTAACTTGTCACCTTGTTATTAGCCATTACCAGTAATTTCTCAGAAGAGCTTCTTAAAATCCTGATTTGTTTATGTTTGCATTGTTTAAATAACTTCAGTTTTTACTAAATTGCTTAGTAATAGTTTTTAATAACTTTGAATGTTTAATAGTTGATTTAGTCCTTTTTATTTAACACACATTAACTTTTTCTGAAATAATATCACTGTTCAAAGTAGAAATTTAAGTATAAATTTATCAGCGTTTGGTAACCCTTGCGAAACTATATATTTATTATATCAAAATGTAGTAAGTTTTTTAATGCCTCCTAGTATTCTCAAAAACGAATCCTAAAAGAAATTTGAATTTTGCCCTGATCTTGTAATGTAGTGAATTTTTTTTTGGATGGGGTACTTTAATGGTTTTAATAAAGTACATAAGGTAGCACAATATAGCATATCTTTACATTCCTAAAACTAGTCTGTTAGATCCATTTTAGTGAGAAACATGTAAAGATAATTGAATGACGAATAACTTTACTAGAAACAAACATGAAGGGGAAAGTGCTGAATCGCCCGCTGCTTGGCACATTTTTAAGAATTGCACATACTCGGTATCCATGTTCACATTGACCTATTATCTTTTAAAAAAAGTATCCCAGAATTGCACAAAAATGGCGCTGTGCACTCCCTTGACTTTATCCATATACAAATCGACCTAATTTCACTTAAAAAGTCAAAGAAAATTGACAAAAATCCAATTCTTCTCACTCTTGTAAAAAAAGCGCCAAACGCCAAACAAATAAGTGGGCAATTCTGCACTTTAGCCAACATAAACATCATAATAATTTTGTTTTCACTTTGATGCTAGAATAGTGATTCTGTTAAATTCTTTAAATAAGTTAAAGAGTAAATTACTTCGGAGAGTGCCAGGCAATTTGGTATAATTTATTTGCACATAGCAAACAAACTATGATTATATCAATTTTCTAAACGTTTTCTGGGCCCACCAGCGGCCGAGCGGTAACATCGCTGAACGCTGGTAGTTCGATCTGAGGTTCGAATCCTGCGAACGGCCTGGCTGCATGGGTATTTTCGTGGTTTTTGCCATGTGTAACGTGTATATGAGCCAGTTTCCCTTAAAAAGTCCTCCACAAAGGCATCCCTTCCTTAAGGCAGATAGCCCTCGAGTGCTTTGCCGTAATCTAATAAACCAAAAATACATAAACTAAACGTTTTCTTCAGTTAGAAATGTTTTCTCATGTGAAATGGCAAAAGACAGAATAATAATTATTAGCATACATTTACAGTAGTTTACTTTTTAGTTTAAGTTGTAAGGAATATGATTTTGTTAGTGTCCTTAAGACTAGCTATTGTCATTCGTGTAAGGCATTTAATTATGCCATATAGCTTAAACTTTATATAAAAATATGTAAAAACTCTTAAGAAAGTTTTATTGTGCTTGGGGAATTTAAAATTATCTAGTTTAATTTAAAAAAAAAAAAATTGCCCTTTATGCAAATTTTCTGAATTCTGCAAACTTTTGCAACCATTTGCAAAACAGTTCTTCAGAAAACCATATCCATTTGTAAGTGGCAATTCCCAAATTCACCAAATCACCTTTCTTTTCTGTAAAAAATCGCAAACTGCACCAAGGTGGTTCTGCTAATACATAAGCACCAAAATGTCTGTACAAAGACACATTGACTAGAAATATAGCTATTATTTCCAGTGCCCGAGAGCAACTGAAGATTACATGTCCCTTTCTGTTTAATGGGAAACATTTTATTGTTTTCATTTTACATTTCATTTCACCAATTTAGCATTCGAAAATTTTGTAGCATTCAATTTGGCGTCTCCTGGCTGCTGCTGCTGGGAGTGTATTCATCTCTTGTTCCGTCACATCACTGCCATTGACAGTTATTATTTATATGTTAAATATATTCAGTATTTTTATATTTTAATATTTATAATTCTTTTTTTAAGAGACTGTATTGTAATAAATTTATATAATGTCATATATAAACTTATAAGGAGCAGAAATAATTAATATTTGTCATAGTCATAGCTAGGGTTTTCAGCACTGGGGGCAGCTGAAGATTATGTACCCCTTCCTGTTTGGTAAGAATGAAAAATATTTAATTCTAAAATTTCATAACATGAGTTTGGCTCCCTCTGAATGCTGCACCCAGGGACATTTGTCCTCTCTTGCCCTCTTCTAGCTACACCCGATATTTTTTATATCCTAAACCTGAGTATGTACAGAAAAAGTTTATATTCATAAGTATTTAAAATATAATTTTCTTTTTTCTGAAGGGTGACTAAATCATAAAAATTATATATGCTATAACTTAAAACATTTCAGCAAGTTAAATATATTGATATAGCCTAATTTGATTTCATTTGATTTATGGGAGATCCTTCCGATCCAACTATGTAAGTCGATAGTTAGCCAAGAAATTTTTAAAGGAATGTAAACTATTCCAAATTTAATAAACCCAGTAATTTAGATGAATGCAAATAAAGTGATTTAAAATATTTAAATTTATATTTGTTGAAAGAAATAATCAAATATAGTGAAAGCTAAGAAGTATTTTCATAAAGTTTTTTGTACATAAAGTTTATGTAAGTTAAATATAATGTAATTTTCAAGCATGTAATGTATGTGTGAATTAGTTTTTCACATGCAGATCTTTTGTTTTAGTCATTATGGATATTCAGCCAAGAGAAATTAGAGTTTTAGATACTGTCGAAGATATTCAAGAACGTAGGGAGCAGGTTCTTGGACGTTATGCCGAATTCAAGATCGAAGCTCGTCATAAGCGAGAACGACTGGAAGCATCCCGAAGATTTCAACATTTCAAACGAGATGCTGATGAGCTAGAATCTTGGATAAATGAAAAGTTGCAGGCAGCATCTGATGAAAGTTATAAAGACCCAACGAATTTACAGGTTAGATACTTTGAACTTAATTATTGTATTTGTTTTGTTAATAAATAACTTGAATGATCAATTATTAGTATTTACATTTTAGTGCAACTACCTTAGAAGTTGCAAATTTTCATAATGTATCAAATTCTGGCACCCATGAACAAAACATTACAATATTGCATATTCTTTTTGTCTTAAATTTATTTTAAAATATGTACTTGCAGGTTTTGTCTGCAATGGAAGAAACTTCAGTAAAGTTTCTGTAGAAATTCTTTCAGTAATTTTCTGGAAAATTGCTAAAGGGAAAAAATTTTTTAAGTTTATTATTAAAGCAATCATCATGGAATTCCTTCTAGAACAAAATTAAGTCTGTAGTAAATAGGATTTTGAGGATAAATACCTAATTAAAACTTGTATCTAGTATAGTAATTATGTATTTATTATTACTTTTTTTTAATTTAAAGCCGTTCTTTTTCTTCTGAAAAAAAAAAAAAAAAAGTCAAACTGCATCAAGTTGGTTGCGCTAGTATGTTAGTTTGTGAATATTATGCGAGTTATATCAAATATTTTGTGAGTTATTTACTACTGAGAATAAATTTATTCAGTAATTGTAATAAATTGTCAAAGAATGACGTTTTTAAATATACAGCAAAAAGTGATATTTCGAGGACTTGGAAGGAGGAGTTTTATAGCATTTCCTGCTAGGCAAAATATTTTGTGTAAATGTTTTTCTTCTGTTTAAAAGATATCATTGTATGCAATGATTTAAAGAAAATTATTTCAAATCTTATTTCTGGAAATGGTACTTGCATATTTTCCCGTCGATCAAGAAAGTTGGTAAAGATCCCACAAAACTATGTCAGTGATCTGCAGAGGTTTGTTGCGCTTTATTTAATTGGATATCAACTGATACAGATTTTAAATATGGCAAGTTTAAAATTTAAATAATTGCGAATCCAATCTTTGATATTATCTGAGAAAGAAATTCATTGAAACTTCATTCATTGTAGTGCCAATCATTCTAGAAGTTAAAAGTTCTGAAAGGAATCTAAAATAATAACCAAACTGTCAACTTTTTTATAAACTTGATGTCACATGCAGTTACTTAAATACAAATTTAAGTGGTGATGTGCTGTTCTGCAGTGCCTTTGTTTGTGCCAATTTGGCAAACTCCACAGTCTTTTAATGTTTTGAGTGTGTGTATTAGTATAACCAGTCCTGCAACTTTGAAATACTCTACTATTTGCTGTCCTGTAGAAAGCAAATCCCAAATGTTATTCATTTTTTCAAAATTCAAGAGAGAAACACGAAAACAGTATTTACATATAGCTTCCTTACAATGCCTAATCTGATTTATTAAAGATCACAATTGTCTAAAACCAAAATGAGTTTTTATGAGTATTTTGTGACATTATGCTTATCCATTATGGGCTAAAATTTGTATTGTTTGGCAGTATTTTCAAGAATAGTCAATGGCAGAGTAAAGCTGTTAATTGTGAGAGCTGTGAGAGGGGTGGTGGTGGTGGTAATTCCTTGTTAAAGTGGCCTCTGCATAAGCCTTTGATAGCACTTTAACTTTTCATGTTACAAATTGGGCAATTCAGTATAGTACCAATTTTAGTGACTAAGCATAGTAGATCCTTTAACATGTAAATAATAATAATAATAATAATAAATAAAAAAAATTATACAATGGAATGATTTGTTTAATTTAATTATAATATTAATCTCAATTTTTTAAAAGATTACAAACTTTATCTTTTGAAAATATAATAAGTATTTTAGAAGCCCCTTAATTTCTAAGATATGTACTATTGTATTAAGTCTGAAATTTGTTTAGATTTCCATTCTGCTTTTCAATCTGTATCAAATTTAGTAACAATGTTTTAAAGCTTGAAACTGTATCTTCCTGTATATTTAATTTTCAATACATAAAATAGTTTATCAGTTTTGATTCACACTGTTTCAAATTTATAATGGAATTTGAAATGCAAGAATTTCAGTGTTCCGTTCATTTCTTTTCATATGTCTGTTTTAGAGTTGTTTAAAAATTTTGAAATATAATTTGCAGGGAAGTGTTTAAAAAAAAAGGGGAGGGGGGAAGGGATTTTATTATATTAATTTTATTTAGCAGTATTATGTACTAACCAATCAAATCAAGGTTTTATTTTACATTTGAAATATAGCTAAGATTTTTTTCCTTTACAAGTTAGAAAATCTGTAAAATATTGTAGTCCATTTGTATCACAGTTCTAAATGTGTTATTAAATTCATTAATCAGTGTAGATGGACACCACATATATATGATGTACTTTACCCATTATTTACATAACCAGAATCATTTTTTCATCTGCAGAACTTTTAACTAACATATAGTTACCCAGTATAACAAGTAGCAAATTTAACTTTTTTATTATTTTAAAATATGCATAGAAATCATGTAATAAACAAAACTATATTATGAACTATATGAACTGACATTAGAAATATCTACCATTAATAATACTGAAGAAGATCTGAATGGTTATAAAAATGGTAATAAGCTTGTAAAAGCTTTAATTTTTATTTACAGCTCGTGAAATGTTTCACATTTGGCAAAAATAGAATATCGATTCAATTGTATTGTTCTATGCTTGGTGCTAAATGAATGTCGCAGCCTGTGAATTATTTTATGTATTTGTTCCTAGTTTACAATCATGTGCAAACTATTTTTTTACGATGTAAATGGGTAAAAGGCTTTACTTTACAACATAATTATATCCACCTTGGTTTTACCAGCAACACAGAAATATCTTCCGTAAAAGAATCTCGGTTATGATAGGAAAGTTCATTAGAACAATATTTAGTAGAAATTAATTAGTTTATTAAATTAACAATTAGTTTAAAATTAGAATTATAAATCATCTTAGATGATAGATTATCATTAGAATAATAATTAGTTTAAAATAATTTCATTATTTAATTTAAAATAATTCTGAAATTAAAAAAGGTATTGATTTGAAGAATAACTTTTAATTGAATCATTTTGAGGAAATGACGGCATAGCAGTGAAGAAAATAAGTCAATCAAATTTTCAGTAACTCAGCTACTGACTGTTTTGCCTTGTTTTATGTGCATGAATAAATTAAAACACTCTTAAGATCTTTGACTATTAAAGTCTTTGACTATGACTACTATATTATGTAGAACAGAAGTTCTCTTTTGTTTATATTCTATTTTGATTAAGATGGCAGTGAAAGTTTACAGTTGGGTGCCTCTTGTTTTTTTGCTGATTCTTTTTTGATGCCAAGATCGGTGCCAGCAATCCACAATTTCAAGATGGCTGCTATACAAAACCAAAATAAGAAGTCGAAGAATTGCACAAACTCTGTATCCATGTACATATTTTCACTTAATTGGAGAATTGCAAAATTTCGGCATTGTGCTCTAACTTGACTTTGTCCATGTACAACATCAATCTATTTTCATTAAACAAAGTCAGGAAAATGATGCTGTCATAAAAAAAAGTTACTACCCACTTTTAGACTAGAGCCAAGATGACTCTCTACATAAATTTAATGCTTTGGCATTTACTGTTGTTAAGTATTAAGCTTTGATAAAATATGTATTTTCAGCACTTGGTAAGTGTATTTTCAGCACTTGGTAGTGTATTGATTCAGTATTAAGAAAGTTGCTGTTTAAATTGCAAAAGGATTGTGTTATTTACCTGAAATAATGGGTCAATTTATGTTTTGAATAGTTAATAAGGAATATTCATTGCTTTCATGGAATAATTAAGAGCTCTATAGTTCTTGATTTCTTTAACCATAATCAATATAATCTGTATCAGGGTTCATAACAGTCCTTATAAGTGCTTATAAGTCTTTATATTTGAAAATAAAATATAAAGGCCCTTATAGGTGCTTACTTTTTCTTTAAAGTCCTAAATTTTTTGTTTTTAGTGCTTATTTTTTGCTTTTAGTGCTTTTTTTTTTTTAATGAACGCATTAGTTTTCCCCGTACCAAAGCCGAAACTAAATAAACAAATTTTCTTCCTTATATGAAATGTCAGATGGTGAATCATACTCCCGGAAATAGCTTTTCCCCCTTTCTCTGCGTTAACATAACCTTTGGTGTGCACGAAGAGTACAGACAGGTGCCCGTCGTTCTATTGGTCAAAGGAAAGCAGTAGAAAATTCGGGTACATTCGGCATTCTTTTTCCTCCCACCCAGATACTACACATGTTTGAATTTCTATCAAGATCTTAATAATTTTTATTCTCGTTCCACTTGGTCAGTTCATATTTGTGTTTATTATGATCATTATGCTTATATTATGAGTATATGTATGAATGTTTATAATAACATAGTTGCAGTAACTGCTGAAGTATAGTAAACTTCCAAAAATGGTTGTGTTTTAACACAGATTAGCTTTCTAAGGAATAATATTCGGAATGGCTTAACTAAAGGGAAAGTAATCAAATAGTCAAAAATAATTTCATTTTTTTTGGCCAGTACATTATACAGTACGAAGATTGGAAGGTTCTCCCCTTTCTCCGCAAAATCTCGAATATTGAAACTTTTACAGTTCGCTGCAAAACAAGCAACGGACATATTTTTTTTTTTTTTTTTTGGTCACTTTCCAATCTGGATTGAATTGGACTAAAAAATCTGCGGTCTACCAACGCAAGCGAAGAATGATTCTATTCCGGAAATTTAAAGCAGTCTGTTGAAAATTAGAATGAAAAACACCCCAGTTATTTAGTTCTTTATTCTCTCAATACCGGCAGCTGTTGATTCTGATTGCGTAATAGTGATGTAGGGAAGAATTACCGCACAAGTATTGCACAATAACGATTTTGCAGAGATAATTAATTTTGATGTTCAGTCCGAGATTTGTTTATGAACACTTAAAAGAGTTTTACTGTGCTTGCTAAGCAGAATATTTTTTAGTTCCGTTGGTTTATTTTTATATGATGCACATATTGAAATGTCAAAAGCATTTATTAAGTGGAAAAATCTAAAGAGTGGCTACAGTCTACTCCCCCTCCGCTTCTCTTTTTCAAGTTACGCTCGACTGTCCGAATATTCACCAATTTCCAAGTATGCGGGTTAGTTAAGCTTTTACTGTTAAAGGATGACTGCATGAAGCAAATTTCTGTCTTCTAATTTCAGAAATGTTCCTCTTTTTTACTTAAATTAAATCTGTTAAGAGAAAACTGATATACAATGAAAATTTAGGAAATGTTCAGAATTTATATTTAAATATCAATATGATTGGGTAAATAAATTGTATTTATTATTAGGTTCCAAGCGAATACAATAAATATGCCTTATTATTATTTATTTTCTCTATTTTGAACTGAAATTTCATCATTAAATCTTGTAATATAGTTTAGTTCTGCATAGTTTTTTTTTTCCTCATTGTAAACTAGTTCTGTAAATTGAACTGTTATTTAAAATTAAAAAAAAAAAAAAAAGCATTTATTTTCCATGGTTGAGGTAATGCTTATTCTCTCTTAATAAATACTGCATTTCTCATATTTTAAATTACGAGTCTAATTTTTAAGGTTATGCAGTTGTGTATAATGTAATTAGAGAAGTGCTTATTTTTTCCTTAAAATGTGCTTGAAAAGTGCTTATAGGTGCTTATTTTTTTAACTAAAATGTGGCTATGAACCCTGTGTATTAATAAAATTATCAAAATACATGCTTGAAAACGTATTCTGCATTAACCTTTTGACTACTAATGGGTCATATGTCCCACTAAAAGTTTAAAAATTACTGCTGTATTAAAAAATACTTAGAATCCCCTGAATGTTGGGGGTCATCTTTCAATAGTTGAAAATCAAGACACCATTGTGGTCGTTGTACATAAATGAACATAGAGAAAAGAACAAATATGAGTTGCCCAATGTGTAATGTTGGGTTGAATGCTTTACCCTGTACCATACTATGTAAAATATATCTCATATAATAAAGTTTTCGGAAATAATAGGTGTACTTATAGTAAGTCGATTGCCAGAGCCACAGCTAGGGTTTTTAGCATCAGGGGTAATTGAAGATTTCGTGCCCCCCATTCCTCTTTGCTAAGAATGGAAAACATTTTCTTCTAAAAACAGCAATTTATTGCACCTGGAGACAGATTTGCTCCTCCTTAACTACACCTCTGTTGTTTACTATGTGTGGAATATGTATCCCACACACTGTTCGTCAAAAAAATCCCAAATGTTAAATTTACCTTATTTATGACATATTTTGTTCTATTGGATAGAAAAAAGGTTTTTTTTTTTTTTTTTTTTTTTTTAAATTCTTAGTCAAAGGGTTAAGTATAATGTTAAGAGTATACATATATGCTGAATATTTCTTACTGTCATCATCTCATCTTGAATCCTTTGCATCTTACAGGCGAAGATACAGAAACATCAGGCTTTTGAATCTGAAGTAGCTGCACATAGTAATGCTATTGTGGCTCTAGATAATACTGGTTCAGAATTGATAAATCAGAATCATTTTGCTTCAGATATTATAAAGGTAATTATGAGATTTATATGGAAACATTTCTTTAGATTAGCATTCATTATAATCTGTCTCAAACATTTTTAAGTTGAATTATTTTTTAGTAATTTTTATTTGCAGTTAGATCACAATATCTTTTTTAATATATAGCATCGACTAGAAGAGTTGCATCGATTGTGGGAGTTACTTCTATCACGCCTTGCTGATAAAGGACTGAAATTACAGCAGGCTTTAGTTCTAGTGCAGTTTTTGCGGCAGTGTGATGAAGTGCTTTTCTGGATAAATGATAAAGTATGTACAAATTTATATTCATGCATTGAGTTGGAAATTTTTTAGCTTCACACTTTTCTTTTTTGTAGTACTTGTTATACTACCTGTTGTTTAGTACTTGTTATAGTACTTGTTGTTTGTTTGATTTATTATAGTACTTGTTGTTTATGTTATGGTTTTTATAAATTATAATATTAAATATTGTGAAAGAGTTTAATCACACTTTTATTACATTTATTCCTGATTTAGGCATCTTTTCAATTTTGTACTAAGATTAAAAAATTATCATATTTTGATAAATCAGATGAGAAGTTACATTTAAAATATGTGATGGATAACATACAGCATATTCAGTATAGCGCAACATAGCAGTAATTTTCTTGTTTTCGATCACAATAATATCTTAAAGATTTCCATTTAAATTCGTGAATTTTATCAGGGCTGGGTTTAGACTAGATAAGACTATTTGAGATATGGGGCCCTTCATAAGTTCAGATATGTCAACGCCAAATATGATTTTCAGATACCTAGAGGGTTAAACTGAAATACAATTACGAAGTATATAGATGGTGAAATAATAAGTCTTTAACTGGTACTTTTCCGTTTCGCCGGCGCAAATCTCGCCAAGCAGACTTTATTGGCGACAACATGCAGTATACACATAAAAAAAAAATTTTAAAAAATTTAGTTCTAAGAATCTTTTATTTTGAAGGCATAAACATTTTAATATCACTTAAAATTTTATAAAAAGCCAATATATAAAGACAATAAATTTGTAAAAAGACATTAATTTAAGAATTTACTATGCTTTCATGGTTCAACATCCTGATTCGCCGGTTCATGTCACGTGACCCCAAGCGATCTAATCTCACGCAAACTATTCTACAAAAATCTAATGCTCTCAGTAATTATCTACATTAATTTCAACTTAAATCTTAATTTGGAACACAATTTTAAATGCAAGAAATATTTCAATTCGTACGAATAGCTTACTCAGAAATTATGTAAAACTGCAGTGCTTTACTTCGCTAATGCATTCTCATTAGAATGGATGAATACTTGACTTTACCTTTTCTATATTTTCGGCTTCGGGTAAGCGTTGTGATTGCATCCTAATTGACTTAATTACCGAAAATGGCCTTAGACATAAAACTGTACTACCTGATAAAAATTCTATGGCGAGATTTGCGCCAGTATTGAAAGAAACAATTCATCTGATAAGAAAAAGCTGCAACTTGTTTTGAAAATGAGGCGTAAAAGGTTACCAGCGAGAATATTCCGTTTGGCATCGGTTGTACCATTATTGGCGACTTTATCGCTTGCGCCGGCAAAACGGAAAAGTACCCTTTAACTTAATCATTTTTATTCATAACAAACTTAAAAATGCAAACTCTGGTAAAAAGAAACAAAAGTTATTTTAAAAGGCACAATTTACAAAGGCTTATTATCTAATCTCTTGGCAATTTGCAACCATCATACTAAGAAACAATCTCAAAATTGCTTCTGCATTAGGGAATGCTGATTGGACACGATAGTTAAATATTACCCTATACAGATCCTGATGCGTCAGACTCTCATGTGCCACTGAATATGATAGTCTGACACTATCATGTTTCATATCATGTATCATGACATAGTTTCATCAGTATGTTAGACATAGGCGTGACTTTGTCTAACATACTGATGAAAGTGCTTGACTTCTACAATATTCATGTCTACATCTTCAGGATATGTTTGGCATAATGCACTATAACTCCTTCACAAATCTCTTTTTAGCTTCTAGTTTTGTTAATTGTTTTGTGTTTAATTCCAAAAAAAGTTTACTGCATCTAAACAACAGTCAACTGCTGCTCTACTCACAAGATTCAGGAAATGACCAGCACATGGAATATGCACAGAATATTTGTTAATTTTCATTATTATTTCTTGCATACCCTTATGTATTTGCCCAACATATTGGCAGCATCATTATGTGACTAACCTCGACACTTATTGAAATCTATTTTGCGCTAATTTGTAAGGTAGTTGTACATCATCTTAGCCATATTTTCCCCTGTGTGGCTACCCATCTCTAAGAAAACATTCAATAGCGAGCTCATCATCTGGTGAAACATGCCTCTCAATAACAGTGAGCTTATCAATATGGGACCAGCCTTGGAGTGGAATATGCAGATAAACTGAAGTACCCTGCAGTTTTTAAATCATCCAAGATTGAGTTTCTTACTTTATGTGTCATACTTTGGATAAATTCATTGCATATTGTTTTAGAAAGATAAGATGTGAGACCTGATCCTTTATTCCAAATTTTTTTATATGGCTTGCTAGAAAAGGATCAAATTTTGCTATAAGTTTGAGTAATCCAAGGAAATTGCTTCCAAATGCTTCCTTATCTCCTCTGTAAGGTAAACCATGCTCTGCTATAGTAATTATAACCACCACAATTCGTTCAAGAACATTTTTCCAGTAAAATAATAAATTGACAATTTTTTTGGGGGAAGGGCAAGAAAGTGGGCTCCCTAAGCTATAGCTTGTGTAGCTTAGCGCAAGTCCTGTACTGAATTTATTATTCAAGTTATTAATTTTTTGTAAAAAAAAAAAATGCAGATTCAGAAGCTCTTAATTTTTTTAATGCTATATGTATGTCTTAAGGAGAATTTTTATGGCTTTATTTTTCTTTTCTTTGAAGATTTTCTTAGAAGCCTTTTACATAACTCAGCATTCTTAACAATTATTGAAAAAATATTTGTTGATATTGCCAAACAATGGCATTATTATTTGATTTACCTATTATAGGTAGTTATTAATTTTTGTTAAAATGCAGATCCAGAAGCTCTTAATTTTTTTTAATGCTACATGTATCTTATGGAGAGTTTGTAAGGCGTTATTTAAAGGATCAGATTTCTTTTCTGTGAAGATTTTCTTAGAAGCCTTTTACATTTACTCAGCATTCTTAACAATTATTGAAAAATATTTGTTGATATTGCCAAACGATGGCATTGTTATTTGATTTACCTAATGCCTCCTCTTCTGAACACATGACGGATTAGAAGTTGATTATTCAGTCTTCTTTGTGATGAAGTTCGAACTGCATCGCACAGTATGATTGACCATTAGAATTATACTGTGGAGGAATTGAGTTTTCGCTTTTTAAGTTTTGTGATTTGATTTAAACCTGCTTCATGTATATATATTTAAGGTCAATAAAATCCTGCTAAAATCTCTTATTTTGCTGAGGTTAGAATTAATGGGAGCACTGTTATCAGCCAAGTTAGCTACAATGTTTTGAAAGTATTGAAAATCTCGTGCTATTTTCAGACCAATTCAACAATTACTTATATTTGGATCCGAAAATAGTGTGAAACTTTCAAACCTTGTGTCAAAAATTGTGTCAAAGAAATTCAAAAATTGAATTCATGGCAAGATTGCCATTACTGCCCAAGTGTCGAGAGCCCTGCAGATCTCTTATCTTGGGGAAGGAGATTTCAAAGTTAATAAATGAGCTCATTTGAATGCAAAATTCACAGTGGCTTCAACTCTGTCCTGATCTTTGGCCAATATTAGACATTAAAGAAGCAATTGATGAAGACAAATTGGAATACCGAAAAAAAATCTAGTGATATACATCAACTTGAATGTACAGTTGAAAGTATAGATGAACTTTTCAACATACCAAAGTATATCAACTTGGAGAAAGAATCACTGCTTGGACAACACTGTTTATTGCAAAATTAAGAAAAACTAGCGATATTCAAGGAACTCTGATGGCTGAGGTGTTGTAAGAAGCAGGAAGTTTTTGGATAAAATTCGAGTAAAAGAAGTTTTTGCTGAAGAGTACAAAGTTCTAAAAAAAGTAATTCAGTTGAAAAAAATCCCCTTTGTACAGTTTTCTTCTTTGCATTGAAAAGGGAATCATGAGATTGGGAGGAAGATTGGAATTTCTGACTTCTCCCTTGTTAATAAACATCCAGTTACCCTACCTAACGATTCCAGACTGATAATGCTAACTGTATACAAAGAACACAAGAAGGTAATGTATGGAGGAACTGTTGTGACTTTAGCAAAAGTTAGATCTCATTTCTGGATTCCTAAAGGATGTCAACTAGTCAAAAAGACATTTGCTTGATTTGCCGGAAATATTTAATCAAGTTAGCAGACCAGATAATGTCATCCTTGCCTAAGGACAGCATCCAGGAATCACTTCCATTTGCAATCTGTGAAATTGATCTCACTGCACCAGTCTATGTAAATAATTCTAGACACTAAAAAATTCTCTATTGTTTTATTCATCTGCGCAGTAACCTGAGCTGTAAACTTGGAACTTGTGTCAAATATGTCAGCAGAGTTCTTTTTAATTGCACTTTGTAGATTTTTTGAGGAGAAAGGGAAATTGCAAAGTCATCTCTGTGACAGTGCCATGACTTTTAAGAGAACAAAGATGTTGAGAATTTTTCCAGGTTTTAGCAGATGATAAATTCAAGATTTTTATTGCCAAAGAATGAACCTAGTTGAAGTTCATAATCGAGCAAGCCCCATGACTTGTAAGATCTATTAAAGAATGTTTAAGAAAAGTCTTCACTACTCATTGAGGTAGAGTCCATTCTTAATTCACAATCTCTGACCTATGTTTATAATGCAAATGATGAACTTCAACTTTTAATTCCAGTATACTTCCTAAATATTGGAGAAATTGATTTGAAGTATCCTTTGACTTTCATAGAAATCAGCAACAAGAGAAATGCTCTTGAAAATGTTATCAAAAATTGCTGTTGAAACAGTTGTGGTGGAAGCAGCAATATTTATTAGACCTTAGAATTGCCCTTTGCTTGAAGAATCCTAAATTTCAGTCAGAATTGAAGTACGAGATGTTGTTTTAGTTGAAGGAGACGATAAAAACAAACTGCTGTGGAAACTTGATAGAATCGAAAAAGCTATTCTTTGTCGTGACATGTAAAGTCCAATCATTTGAACTGAAAACTGGTAATGGAATTCTGAAATGCACTGTCCAAGATCCTTCTGAACTTTGATTTTCTGTCAGATTTTGAACTTAAATGATTTCGTTATGTATTTTTTCTTTCTTTTTTCTTTTCTTACTTACTCAGTAAATTGACTATCACTTGTTCAATTAATTTAGTTTAGAATCTATTGAACCATTTGTTTCATTTTTGTTAGTTGTAACATTAATTAATTGATATATGTTACGTCTAACCTTTTTTTATTTTGTAACTGACATTTTTGGGTTGAATTTTTGTATATTACAGAAAAGTGATTTATGCATATGATTATATAAAATTCAGTTAAATGAACTCTTGTCAAGTGGAGAGGATGTTGAAATATATATGCTGATTTTGCCAAAAGATGGCAAGGTCAACTGTTTAATTTACTTAATATCTTCTCTTCTGAATATGCAACTATGTAGAAATTGATGATTCATTCTTTTTTGTTATGGAGTTCAAACTGCATCATGCAGTATGATCAAGCATTAAGGGTATTCGATGGAACAACTGAGTTTCTGCCTTTTAAGTTTTGTAATTTGATTTTGACTTTTAGCCTGCCTCATGTATATATATATATATTTTTTTTAATGAAAAACTCTCAATATTGAGATTCTGTTCTTTGATTCTTATTTTGTTTTAATTTTGTGAAGCCAGTCTGTTTTCCCCAAATTTTTAGAAGCTTTATATTGTGCATTAAAATTCTAGTTATCAATTATCATTAATCTGCCATAATTCATACTTTTTTTTATGTGAACAAAAATTTTTGGTTCCAAAAAAAATCAGCATAGTGGAAAATATATTGGCAATTATTTTTTACATGTATGTGCAAATAAATTTTACAAAATGTGCTCTGTTTATTTTGTATTTTGTTGAAGTAGACATATTTTATTGAAGTAATTGGGGTATTATTTGCTTACATGTGAATGCTCTTCTTCTCTTTTTTTTTAAATTAACATTTGTTTTAAATCGCTGCAAAATTGTCATTATAGATAAAACTACTTTTGAGTGTATAGACAGTTGACTTTTAAAGCTAATTTTATGTGGTTAGCATGTGTGCATAATTTATTTATTCAAAACTTTCAGATATTGATTTCAAATTTAAATGGGCCCACCAGCGGCCGAGCGGTAAATATGCTAAACACTGGTAGTTTGGTCCAAGGTTCGAATCTCGCGAACGGGCTGGCTGCATGGGTGTTTTCGTAGTTTTCCCCATGTGTAACGTGTATACGAGCCAGTTTCCCTTAGAAAGTCCTTCACGAAGACATCCCTCCCTTTAACCAGATAGCCCTCGTGTGCTTTGCCATAATCCAAATCCAAATTTAAATGTATTTTATAAGCTTTATCATAGCTGCTTTATTACATCTTGTTCAATGAACAAGTTTGCTTATGCTGTTCATGAATAATGATAACGTCTTTAAAATAGCAAATGTAGAGATTTTCCGAGTGGGGAAAAGAAGGAAAAAAAATAAAATATGGTAAAACTTCATTATGAATAAGTGAAGAATGAACGTCAATCCTGGAATTTTCTCTCCTAAATTTTCAGTTGCTTTCAACTGATGAATTCGCAGCTGCAGGTTATGAATGTTATATGAACACCTGCGAGTTTATCGTAAATGCAGCATTATTGATCGTCATATGTATAATGACAAAATAAACGTCAGCATGGCACTGATGAAATAGATTTCTGTCTCATCAAATTTATGTGGCCATGACTAAAACAGGAACTACTTTTCAGTTAATCTTGAATATTTTGGAAAAATATGAGCAATCTGTAATGTAAGAAAAAAATACCGATTGTGCACAATTTTACTTAGAAAATGTTGCGAATTGAATAAAATATCCATTCTCTGATTCGATTAGAAACTGAAAATGTATGTTGGCATTTTCTTATAGGTGAGAAAATGAGTTTTGTACTAGATAAAAATGTGTGTGCAAAGGCAATATGATTAAAAGTTTTAATTCTTAAATGTTTGCTAAATTTTGATGAAAGGATTCATCTCGTTATTCATTATAATTAAATAAGTCTTTGTTCATGAGGTTAAAAGATGTTCTGTCTTCTTATGGCTGTTTTAAAGTTAAATATAGGTAAATAAGATGCATCAATGAAATAGGATCAAGTTTGCTACAGTGCTGTAGCAAAGATGTAGAATATATATATAATCAGTGTCTAAATCGAGTAAAGAGTCAGAATGTAAATTAAATATAAATTTAATGCCAAAATATTATAAAATGCCTAATTTTCTATCTACGCAAAATTGGTGTACACTGAAATACAGTTATTAAATGGGTAAAAAACATAAAGAATCTAAAAAAATCTTAAAAACTATTTTGTAAGATACTTTAGAATTTCTTAGAAGACTCCTAGTTATCATTGCATGCACTTGGAAGAAGAAATTAATCTCCTTTGTTTAACACTTCAAACAGAGTTTGATATACAGATGGTGCTGAATTTTCTCTATGTTAATTTTAACATTTCTGACAATTTTGTGCAAATTGTCATGGATTTCTGAAAAACTTTTTGCTAAAGTGCTTTTTGCTGGGATTCAGAGTATACGTGTAATTACACTTAATATTTCAAAACAAAAAGACATAAATGAATTATATTTTAAATAGTATTAATATGACACCCTCTGCTTTTAATAATGCTTAGATTATTTTAGGCATTCCTATTAAGACTTATAAGAAGTAATTTTTTTTAGAAAGGTAAGTGATTAAAATCTGTTTCGATTTCTGTTAGTTAAATGGAATACAACAAATTTTACTCATGAAAAAAAAATTTTATTTGAAACAAAATGTAGATGAAAAACTGTAGTGAATTTTGCAGAAGGTGAAAAAGAAAGAAAAATTCATATTTTGCACATATTCTATATTTAGTAAATGCATTTTTTGGCAGTGTTTTAGGAAATCAAACAAAGTCAAACTTTTCAGCTTAAGGGTGTACACAGCTGCACTAGTTGACCTGAAGAAAGGAATAAAAAAGTAACATTTAAATTATTTTGGAAGAAGACAGTAAACAAAAAGTTTGCATAATTCAATTATAAATCATTGGATTTTTTTTTTTTTTTTTAAATAAGAAAGGTATTCTAAATCAAGACTTTAGGATGTTTTAAGAATGTTTTAACCTGTTGGAAAAACAGACAGTATTTTTAAAAAATAAGTTTGAGTAAGAAATAATGCCAATAACTATTGATTAATTTTCTTTGTGTTTATCACTGTGAACTTTTGTGTTTATCACTAACATTAGGTAAATTGAAGTTGTTATCTGAATTTACCTAATGTAATGCATGATGTATCATACTGAATTTGATTTTCTTATTGATATATTTATATTTTGTTATGTATATCATTGCATATATTTCTGATGATGAATCTGATTGCATATATTTGTAATATTTTACTATGTTTTTGTATTTTTTATTTTAAATTTTACTCTTTAAAGCATTTAAAAAAAGATTAATATCTATATGGCTAAAATGAAATTTCTATGATAAAATTTATCATTCCCTTTAAAAACTGCATGTTAACCATAATTTTGAATTCATGATCAGAGTATAATTTATTGAATTCATGTATTCCAATCAATTTTCTTTTTCTTTCAGGAAGCATTTGTCACCACAGATGAGTTTGGTCAAGATCTGGAACATGTTGAAGTTCTTCAACGAAAATTTGATGAATTTCAAAAGGTACTTTAAGTATGAAAGACTGAAAGAATTTTGTAAATAAATGTCTATTCTTTGCACTCCCTATTGATACATTTAAAACTGTATGTGTGTGTGTGTGTGTGTGTATTTTTTTCAAATGAAATGTACTAGAAGTTTAATTCCCCCCCTTCTTCCCCCACCAAAAGTGTAAGTCTTCTATGCCATTTAAATGACATTGTGAATGTGTGCCATTTAAGTGAAAGGTAGATTCAGTTTCTTAGGAGTAAGAGCATATTAGAAAACTGATAATAGAAATAAATGAATTTGAGTAAATTCAGCAGTGCTGATATGGCAAAATAAAAAATGGCGATAGTTTATCTTGATTGTTTAATTCTTCCTCTGATATGCTTTTCCTAATGCACAACAGAATAAAAAGACCTGTACAATTATATATTATTGCATAATCATATAACTCAAGTATAATTGAAAGAGGGGAAAAAAAAAAAAAAAAAGACTATGTGTATTTTAGTTTATAACTGTCTGAAAACTTTTCTGAGAAAATACTCTTAAATTTTCAGTAAATTATGAATTAAAATATTATTTCTATTAAATGATTTTAAGCAATAAGTATATGTCTTATGAACATTCTGTATAAAATATTCTAAGCAGACCATACTGAAAAGGATTTTAACAGTCCAAAAAAATTTATTCCTAAAATTATTACAACAGTTGTTTAAACATTACATAAAATCTCTGTTGGGACAATGAAAATCAAGTATTTGGTAATTATTAAGCTGAGAAATACATAAATTATGTTATATGCATTTATTTCTGGTACCTTTGTAACTGAAATGTCTTATAATAGTCCATAATTATTCTGCAATAAACTTATGATTGCTTTTTACTATTCTTATGCAGTCATTTTTTTGTGTAATTCTAAAATTACAAAAATAATCCTGGTAATATAATTTTAAAAAATGTAATTTAGTTGAAGAGACTACTGATATTTAATGCATGTATTTTCATAATTATTCAACAAATAATTGAAAAGAAAAAAAAAATACAGAAAGCAATAACTAGTATTTTTTCTTAAGTTTTTATTCATTTGACTTGGATTGATGCTCACCTCAGACTTATAATGTTAAACTGATAGGGTTCCTTATGAAATAAATTATGTGTGTATATTTGGCATAGCACCATCAAATATGTGTCTGAAAATTTTACATGATTTTAATATAATGTGTGTGTTTCCCATTCTTATTTTTATTGTATTATCAAAGCCCACTGTAACAAAGCCCCAGATTTAACAAGTGAACTTTTTGGATGCATCCAGTTCCTTATGCGCTTAATGTTATTTTATACTGTTGTAACAAGCCTCCAAGAGTATGAAAATCGGATATAAAGAATTGAGTGGATACCATTGTTCGAAACATTTTTTGTTTTCTTTTTTTTTTTCTTTTTTTTTTTCATATTTTTTCCCATAAAATCATACGTATTTAAGATGCCAGAATCCACATTCCATCCTCAATGATATTTACATTACTTTTCTCTGTGTTCTAAACAAGGTTTCTGAAAGATTGGTGGGAACCCAGACAAGTTTGAACCAGGCGTGTGAAGACACAGTAAGCATAGCTTAGGACAGCGTATGGTGCATGTGACCATTGAGCTAAAGAATATAAATGGGTTCCCTGTGTTCATTAAAATTTTTTGATTGAATTGCAGACAAAGCTTTCTTCAAAGCTGATACAATGATGGAAATTTTGAAATTTTTGCTATTCAGGGAAAGAGGTAATGGTGAATTTTGTGAAATTTCAATAGTATTTGTGAATTCATCTTTTAGGGAATGAAATTTGTTCCCTTATTGATTTCTTGTGTTTGAGTATAAGGTGATTTTGCATTCTTTAGGTCTTTTAAAAGATGTAGGATATTTTTATAAAGTTTATTGAATCCTTTCTTTTTAATCATACGTATCATGGAAAAAATGATTGCATTTTCCTTGGACATTGGATAGACACATAGGTGACGGAATTATCTTCCTTTTTCATCTTTTCCAGAAGATCAAATTTCTCACATAATCTGTAACCAAACTCTTTGTAGTTTCTCTCTCCACTTTGTAATTACTCTTTATAGTACCAAACTCTTTTGTTTTGAAAAAATTGTGAAATGTAAAGCATTTTGCATGAAAGGATTAGATCAAGATTATTTGAAATATGCAAATTATATGCAGCAAGTTCGATATCTGCTGGGAAAACAATTTATCCAAATCTGCAGTTGGTACGAAAAATCAAGACTTGATAATTCTGCTTTTGGTAGAAATGTAGATACGAGAAAAGCCGAACAAAAATGAAGCATTGCTGAAATAGCTTGCCATTTAAAGAAGCCATATCTGCAATATTTGGATAAATGCTTTAGACAGAAGCCTACGAATTTCCCAGACACTTTGAAGAGACTATTAACACATTGAACCCGACGCCAAATTTGCTGTCCTTTCCGTTCAGCCGGCGCAAGCGATCAAGTAGTGCAATGTTGCAGGATGATCCTCGACTTCATGCACTCAGTAGGGCTTATCTGTTGGTGAGCTTTGAAACCGGCCAAATGAAAATCCCAGTGCCGTTCCCCAGGATCCGATGTTAGCCACATGGAAAGTTCACTGCCGGTCCCCAGGGACTGATGCCGGGCTCAACGTGTTAAGAATGAATAAATAAATTTAATAACTGCATGTGGTAATGATTGAAATTAAATATTGATGTTTTTTTTTTAAAATTAGATATACTATTTACTTCTTTTGGGAGATATGATGGTAACTGCGTATTATCACATTCGCCTTAGTGGAAATAGTACAATTTTCAGAAGTCACTAAACTCTGGTAATCTTGCAGTTCTTTAGGTAAACATATTCATTGTGTAACGATATGGCAGTGTTAGTTTGTTTTTTTCCTTTATTCATCATTCAATTTTTACACCTTTTTTTCAAGATAATTTATTTCATGTTTGGGATCAAATATAGAGAACCTCTGGGTATAGTGAACCAAACTTGAAACTCCTTTGAAGTTTGTTATAGTTAGCTTCAATTGTAGTTGCTGTACTAACTCGTAAATATATAATAGTTTAAAGGGAAAAAGTATTCAAAAATTTTCTAGCACATGAAAATTTGTATGCTTCCTCAGAAAAATTTTTGTCATAAATTTGCCTTATTGTGTTATCTTATATTGTTATTGTTTACATTCATATATTAAGTATATTTTAAGTAATGGTTAATATTTATCTAGTTTAGTGCTTAATATGTGGATAAGTAATTATTGAACTTTCTTATTTTAGTTGACTTATGAATGATTTTCATAATAAAATATATCCAAATGTATGAAATTTTCATGCACGTTTCATGTGTAGGATTTCCAGATATATAAAGATTGTCATAATTTGCACAGTTTTTAAAGCAGAAAATATGTTTTGTATGTGAAAAATCAATATTTTTAATGTAGGTTCTGTGCCTCCTGTTAGTGTACATTTTATATTGGATTTAATTACAGGATATGGCCAGTCAAGAATTTAGAGTGCAAGAAGTAAATGAACAAGCAGACAAACTTATTAATGAAGGTCACCCTGAGCATGAAACAATAAATAAACGAAAAGAGGTATAGTTATTTAATTTTCTATGATCATAAGTTTTAACATTAGTTATTTAATATTTTGAATGAATTTTTTGCCTCTCTAAATTTATACTTTTTTTTAAAAGTTGATTTGAATATATGTTTGTGATTTTAGGAAGTAAATGACAGTTGGCAGCGATTAAAAGGATTGACTTTATTGAAGCAAGAAAAGCTCTTTGGTGCACATGAAATACAGCGATTTAATAGGTAAATAAGTATGTTTATCTATAATATATATAAATTCTACTACCTTTCTCAGAGGAGATAATACACTTAATAATCTAGTAGTAAATAAATTATTTTATTACTTTGCAGCTTTTGCGCAAGTATTAGGCAATTTATTACGATTAATTAATATATTTTACTTCAACCTTTGACATATATTATATGTTCTTGTGAAATGTAGTTTTAACCCTTTCAGGACGGGTGTCCCATATACGCATTCCCTAAGAACGTCTCTTACAGCCGGGCGTCCCATCCACGCATCAGTAAAGATCGCATTCAGAGGACGGGTGATTCGTATACGCATTTTAAGGTGGAACGTTTTTTTGAAGGCCACTAAATGGCATCCTGTGTCCATTACTTTTGAAATGAACACAGTTTTAGGTTCCTGACCTTGAGTTTGATATATTCTGCTTGACTTTGGTATTTTACTCATCAGCTGTTCGAGGGTGTGGGGGGGGAGAAAGCGTAAACAGAGGTGGGCTCTTTAAATCGCTGCATGCTAATGAAAACATTCTCGTATCTGATTTATATCCAATTCCTTTTTATATTTTTTTTTCCTCTAGTATGTACGGTCTTTTAGGGTTACTGGTTACCGTGCGGAGTTTTTTTATGTTTTGCATTGCCTTCAGATATATTTCCGTTCCTTCTTTTTTTTATTTAGGAAAGCCTCACCTCCAGTCTATTATGGCGGGAAGGTGGAAGGCGCTATTTATCAGAGGGAAGAATACCCTCGTATGGTTAGTGAACCATTTACTAACGCAAATGAGAGTACTGATTCATTTTCTAAAGAGTTAAAAAGTGATACTTTTTCTAAGAGTTACAAAGTGATACTTCTCTGTGCTTCGAGATTTACTACACTCTTTTTCATTTTAAATTTTGTTACTTCTTACTGTAAATAGTCTTTATTTTGTTCTTTTTATTAATTTTAAACTTTATTGATGGATTTTATCAATTAAAACTTTGGAATAATTTGAATAGCGCTTCCGAAAATTATTTTAGAAGATGAGCAATTTTTTAAGTATATTTTCATGTAAAATAAAGAAAAAAATGTTTTAAGGTCTAATTTTAACATATATAAGAGCTCAAGTAATAATCTAAAATGATACCAAAAATTACGATGCTAGAAGCGAAACTTTGTTTTTCTGATTTTTGTTATAAAATTAGGCTTAGCGATGCAAAATCTCCGTCCTGTATGGTGACTGCCTTCGATTCTCTTCCGTCCCGCACGAGCGTCTTGAACAAAGGTGCGCCGTTGCGAAAAGGTTAATAGCATGTTGCATACTAGATGTAATTTTTTGTTCTTTTCAGTAAAGTCAATTATCATGAACTGCATTTTAAAGCCACTTAATGAATTTTTTTTGGAAGCTTTTTCTATTGAAAATTCATATGAATCAATATGAGGTAGCATTCTTGCATTAAAATTTGCGAAAAACAATCTTTATGAATTTTAAATATCCAAATGTAATAATCCAAATCTTTATGAATTTTAAATACTTCAGAGGTAAATTAATTAAGCGAAAGTGTTCAAGTGTTTTAACTAAATATATGAAAGACTGTTTAACAATAATAACTGAAATTTACATTTTACTATTTATCAGTTAGCGGCTTTTGGTTTATTAGAACTTATTTTTGTACTAATAATGCAAGTTAATGAAAAAATTATATTACCATAGCTGTTTGTGGAAAATATTATTTTAGTCAGTTCTGAATTGTATAGTTTTTTTTGCTGGCAGGTTCTTAATCTTTTTCATTCTATAACATACATTGCTAAACAGAAGATAAATTAGCTAAGAATAAATACCTTAATTTTTTTCTTAGTTTTCAGTGAAAAGTTAATGGTAGAATCTGTGTACCGTTAACTTTTCACTGAAATTTGAGGAAGGATGATATAATTTGATATGATATTTGGTGATCTTATTAAAGTTTTTAATCATTTTAAGTTATTCCTTTCAGGGAATAAAATAAGTAAACAATAACTTTTATTTTCAGTAATTTTGGGCATTATATAGATAGTCTTATATTTAGCTAACATTTAATTTATGTGTAGTAATTTGCAGTTTTTATTTGACCACATTTAAATTCCATTCTTTTTGGTTATATTCGTGAATGCTAGAAATAAACAAAATTTATCAGTAATTGAAAGGCAAAGTCTTAAAATCACAAATGAAGTCACCAAAAGCTTCATGTTACATATCTTTATCAGGAATACAGTCAAAAGTCGTTAATTCGGACACCCATAATCCAGAATGATCTATAATCTGGACCTCAAAGCTAAAAACGTTTTGCGCATGCGCCGCGTTGACACATGTGCATAGGCTTTTACGCTTGCGTGTAAGACCTCTTACGACTGCGCATTTGCGTGCGCGCAAGCGCAGAATACGTTTTCGCCTGAACGTTTTACGTATAACGAACGGTATAAGCTAAAATTATCTAATTATTTATTTCAGTTAATGTTGATGATTGCGTTGTTCATTAATTTTCAAATTGGATCCGGCTTATTAATTTTTGCAGACTGTAAGAGCAATACTATAAAAGTAAACTTGAACTTTCGATTATGTCAAATAGAATTTCCGAATCTGGAGCTCCCAAAGGATCGTACAAAACGAAAGTATGTTTCGATGTCCATCAAACAAAAAGTGGAATTGCTGCAAAAAATGGATAAAGACATGAAGAATGTGACAGAGAGGTTAGTGAAAACGAAAAAATTTCGATTGACAAGTTAGTCGGTATTCCTCGGCAGCAATTACGGGACTTGAACAGCGAAACTTTGTAACTGAACAAAAAATTATGTCTGTTTATAGGAATTAAAGAGAAAGTATCACATAAAACGAAGCAACTTAAACAACTTACATTGAAATGTTTAATAAAGTAAACAAATAAATATTAAGCTTTTTTTTGTAAATTTTGATACCCTTTAGATCATAATTGTTCTTTATTTCATAAATTACGGTGTCATATTTTTAATTTTAGAATTTCTGCATGCCATCTTACGCGATTTAAACTGATGATCTATAATCCGGAAAAATCGATAATCCGGAATCGTCCCGACGAGTCCGGATTAACGACTTTTGACTGTATTTTAAATTTTAATGTTTGTGTTTGTAATACTCATTTTATGGCAAATGATAAAATGTTTAAGACATTTGTATGGATTAATATACGAAAATGCAAATAAGAGGTAGCATTTGTTAGTAATGCAAAACATAAATAAAAAATTAATCAGTTCAAAATTAGTGTCATACATTAATTTTTCAAAAATTGTGTAAAAACTATAAAAATTTTCATATGTGTAAAAGATTTAATTCTTTTTTTGGCTTTCATATAATTAATACTTAATTTATTAAAGTATTTCAAATAAAAATTTTCATTTAGCAAGCACAACACTAATCCCTGTACCGGCACTGAAAACCCTAGCTCTGAAAACCCTAGCTACCCTGGGTAGCTAAGGTTTTCAGTGCCCGGGGACAACTGAAGATTTTGCACTACTTTCTGTGTGCCAAGAATGGAAAACATTTCATTCTGCAATTTCATCACATCAATTTGGCGTCTCTTGGATGCTGCACCTGGGGACAGATGTCTCCTTTCCTTGCCCCACCCTAGCTACGCCACTGTCCCTATCATAAGTAATGTCCAATATGTATAGTATATTTTCTGTTGATGCTTCCCTAAAATGTTATCTGAAATTACATGTTCAGTTTAATGTTGAATAATAATAATGTGGAATATATTACTGAATATAAATGGTCATTGAATTAGATATTTATTAAGAGTAAAAATGTCATGCACATGAAGTGACCGTTTATATTTTTTGTTAAACAGAGATGCTGATGAAACTATTGCATGGATTACTGAGAAGGACTTAGTTCTATCCTCTGACGATTATGGTAGAGATTTAGTCAGTGTACAGACCTTGCAAAGAAAACATGAGGGTATTGAACGTGATTTGGCAGCTTTAGAAGATAAGGTATTGAATATATTGAATGACTAGCGATGTTAAGCCATTGTAAACTTGAATGTATATCTGAAATGAAATTATTTAATTTTTATTAAAATAATTTTTGATTTTTATTATAACTAATAAAACAGTGTAGTTTAATCTAATGTATAATTTTAATAAAACAGGTTATGACATTGGCTCAAGAAGCTGATAGACTGTGTAATATTCATCAAGATCATTCAAGTCAGATTCAGTCAAAAAATGCTGAAATATCCTCAAACTGGGAAAGCTTAAAATCAAAGGTAAATTGCTTTAATTATGTTTCAGTGAATTGGTGCTGTGTTTTATATAAAGTAATTTTTATATATGTATCTCTTATTATACCATCTGCATATTACAGTATAAAGTCCGAAATCCAGACATCCATTATCCGGAATGATCTAAAATCAGGACCTCAAAGCCACAAATAAATTATTATTATTATTATTATTATTATTTTTGCTTTACACATGCGAATTTGATTTTTCCTTCCATGATAAAACGTGTGGAGATTTTCACTTAAAAATTCCAATTCTTAAATTCACTTAGGCACTAAATAAAATACTCATTATGGAAAAACAGTCATGTAAGCATAAATTTGTGAGATTAATAATTTGGCTCCGTAGTTGAGTATCTGCTTGGCATACATCTCAAACCAAATATTCACTTATTTTATATCCCTGATGCTGACCTGCAAGTCATTATTTATTATATTTTGCTTTCATCACTGCATGTTTATCAGTGCATGACAGCTTCAGTAATAACTCAATGCTGTGATGTCTAAACTATTTTTTATATTAGTAATTGAATAACAAGAATATGACAACCTTTTATGCTACACTTGGTGATGATTATAGATTTTTAAATGCTGTAAGAAATGTTGGCGAAGAAAAATTCAACAAAAATTTCTTTTCATATGCTAAAAATAGATTTTGTTAATAAAACTCATAGGCCAAAAGATTACATTTGGTGCTATTTTAATTAAGAATAACTGATATGTTATTCACCATAAACCCAGAAGCGGCGGCAGAATATGTTGACACCGGACGACAGAATTTTGGGAAGACGAAATTTTTGGAATTTGGTTAAGTACCGAGTGGCAAAATTAAGGGATGAGAAGTTTTTTATGATTTAGGGAAAGCACCTGGGATCCAAAGTTTAGGCCTGGTGAAAATTTAGAACATAGGAAGGCGCTTTGTAGCAGAATTTAGGACCTGTTGAGATTGCACCAGGTGGTATCTAGCGCCGGCCCTAGATAAAGCCTTAAGTATATGTGGGAGTTTATTTATTCAGAACTCCGGTTAGTTTTAAGCATGTGCAAGAAATAAATGTAGGTATAGTAAGTAATTAAACTAAATACAATTCAGGCTTAATTCAGTACTCAGTAGGAGCAAGACAAAATTTAGCGAAACAACTTGGCTTTCGTCGCCAATCTTTTGATGCACAGCCAGTAATATATAACGGATGCTATTAAGTTAGGCTAAAATTATCTTTACTGATTCTAAGGCATTTCAGTTAATATAGCTCCCTAATCTTCTAATTTGATTCAGCTTATTATTTTTTACAGACTGTTATTACTACGGCAATTTTATAAAAATTATGCTTGAACTTTCGATTATGTTGAAAAAAAGTTTCCAATTCTGGTGCTGCCATCTACAAAGCGAAACCATGTTTTGATGTCCATTAAACAAAAAATGGAATTGCTGCAAAAAATGGATAAAAGCATATCCATCTCAAAATTATGCGAGGAGTATGGCATTAGAAAGTCGACTGTATGTAACATAAGAAAAAAGGAAAAGGAACTTTTTGATTTTTTTGTGGAAGCAACTTAAATAAGTTACATTGAAAGAAATGTTTAATAAGGAAAAAAAAATAACATTAAGCTTTTTTTTGTAAATTTTGATACCCTTTAGGATAATTGTTCTTTATTTCATAAATTACAATTTCATATTTTTAATTGTATAATTTCTGCATACCATTTTACCAGATTTACATTGATGATCTTATATCTGGAAAAATCCCAAATCCGAAATCGCCGAAGTCCCGATGAATCCGGATTTCGGAATTTGTACTGTATTCATGTAACTCATTTTCCTTTTTGCTTGGTAAACATTGTTTTTCTAGGTGTTGAATACATCCAGATTAAGGACATTTTGTATTAATCACTTCATGCGTAGTCCAGCAATGTGCACAGCCAGCCACCTAAATAGTTATTATAAATAATAAAATTTGTACAATGCTTTCAATGAGTCTATCTAATGTAATTTCATGCATCAAGCTAGTAATTAATAATAACAGAGATGAAGAACTGCACTGATTGTTTTTAAATCGCTTGCTTTATTAATCAATAGCAGACATTAAATTTGGAAGAAAAATTAAATACTGTAAACTTTGCCAAATGGCAATGAACTAGTCCTGGAAGAAACAAATGTTGAGAGGTGGAGAGGGGTTCAGTAGCTACACATTACATATTAAATCATCGGATTAAAATTTTGAAATATAAATATTGAACTTTTTATTGAGTGGCAACTTGTTACTTTTAAGTATTGAATATTTTAATCATAATGTTATTAAACTCACATAAAATATGATGCAAATAATTCATCATTTGAGCTTTGAGGTGCACATGTTTGAATGGAGGACCCACATATGTCCAAAAATTAGTTTTCTTAGGTGCCACCATTTTTTTTACGCCTGCATGCAGATTCTACACTAAATGATCTAAATACAAACACATCTTAACAAATAAAAGTTTGTGAAAACAAAGAGTAAAAGAAGTAATTATTTAAATCTGGGCTGGTGAATGTTGTGTAAATGAAACTTTTCATGAGTATGTCCCCCCCCAAAAAAAAACATCTTGTTGCTCAGAGGGGGTTTTAAAAAAATCTGAATTTAGTTACCAAATTTATCAAAATTTAGTTACCAAATTTATCACTAACTATTGTCATTATCATTGCATGTATTTTTATTCATTTCAACTCAGAGCTTTTAATTTTTTCAATAAAACATTTCATTTAATATTATATTCATTAACGTTATAAATTGTTTTTATTAATATTAATTATATTTTTTCTGATAGGCTCAAGAAAGACGCAGGCGATTGGATGAGTCTTATTTGCTGCACAAGTTTTTGGCTGATTTTAGAGATTTAGTTTCCTGGATCCATGATATGAAAGCAATAATTTCTGCTGATGAGCTTGCTAAAGATGTTGCTGGAGCTGAGGCACTTCTAGAGCGTCACCAAGAACATAAGGTATCATCAATGTTTCCCCTATATACCGTATTTACGCGAATCTAATGCGCATCGTTTTTGGCCAAATGAAGTATCCAAAATTGGGGTGCGCATTAGATTCGATGGCGCATTAGATTCGAGTGCAAAGTTCGCCGATGACGTCAACCAAATTTAAATTGTAACAATGGATTACTGTATTTCTCGACTACATTTACCATTACATTTATCGTTGACACATTATTGCATAGAGGATACAAACTGCAGAGTACGTAGTCACGAAATGGAGGGCAAACAGAGAAGAATGTCATATGACGCTACTTTCAAACGTAAAGTAATTCTTTATGCTGAAAAAAAAATGGCAATAGAAAGGCAGGGAGAGAGTTCAACGTAGCTGAGAGCAATGTTCGCTTGTGGCGGCAACAGAAATTGGCACTGTTTGCAACTAAAGATTCAATAAATTCCTCATACTATTGATGCGCATTACATTCGCCGACAAACAATTTTTTTATTATTTAAAGTTTTAAAATGGGGATGCGCATTAGATTCGCATAAATACGGTATTTTTTCAGCATTTAAAAAAAGTATTTGAAAGCTATTTTTGCTGTTCATTTTCTTTTTGAGGGGTGGTGGTGGTGGTTCTGCTATAAAATTATAATATTTATTATCAGTTATTTATTTCCGGTGTTATTTGGTTTCAAAATTGTGATACATTATTCTAAAGGATGTTTTCAAGTGAGCTTATGTTAGTCATACATTACATAATATTTTCTTACCACACTTTAGTGCAGTGTAATAGTTAAGAGTTTGCTATGAAATTTAATTCCATATTTTTGCATCTTTTAGTAGAATTTATTGCACCAAAATTGTTAAACTATTTTACATATATCTATTAAAATTAAGTAGATTTAGTTTTAGGCATGTTAAACCCAAAACTAAATCTACTTAATATAGTCTATATAGTCTGTTATATAAATAAATATTTTGACTAACGATTTTTAGAAAATTGAAATGAAATTGCATTTATCATTGATTTCAGTTTTTGAATTTTTTTGTTCTTTAAAAATACTTGATAATTATAAGAAGTATTTTTCTGTTATATTTCCTTATTATGATAGAAATAATTCTTTGAAATAATGTCTTAAAGTTAGATAATTTTAATTTCAATATTAAGTCTTAATATTATTGTATATTAATGAATAATAAAACTGCATATAATTTGATATGCAGAGTTATTTGAAGGGGGCAGAGAGTTGATGCAGAATATTCTTTTAACTACATTATTAAAAAATTAAAAACAAATTGCAGAGTTATATGTTGTTGTTCTGAATATTTCATACAAATTATATCTTTATTAGTTGCTCAACTGTAATGCAAAGAAATAAATCTTGATGAAATTAATATCATGGATCTAAATTAATATGTTTATAAAGCATTATTTATTGATGGGAACTTATAATGACATAGTTATATATAATTATGTTAAAACATTCCTTATGCATTTAAAGGATTTATTTTGGAGAAATGAATAGTTCTTATAATTTTTCATCAGTTTTACAAATGAATAGTTCTTATAATTTTTCATCAGTTTTACAAATGAATAGTTCTTATAATTTTTCATCAGTTTTACAATGAACATAGCACAAAGCATTTTGAGCAGCTCTATATGCTTCCCCCCCCCAACGAGTACATACATGAACAATTTTTTGTTATATCTATGTATGAAGCATGGATCATTTGAGGAAATTTTGAGGTGTTATTTTTATCATCGAATAAACTGGATTATAATTAAACCAATAGAAAAATTCTATTGCTTATATGTAGTAGTTTTTCTGACAAATACTTTATGGATTAAAGAAGAGGTTAAGTGTAACTTTTTTGGATTTTACCAATTATTGTCTTTTGTTTAGATTTATTGCTTTCATTCTCATAAAATAAGTAAAATGTCTGTTCAGTTAGAAGATTCTACCTTAATGAAATAGATCTATTTAGGAAATGGGAAGTATGTGGATCCATTATAGATGCAGTTGTGAACTCTGGTCGAGAATTGAATCAAAGACATTAAGATGCTGTATTTAAATTAAAACAAGATGTAATTGTTTTTTTTCTGTATGTATCAGGACTTAAATGAAGTTTTAATTTTATTTAACACCAGCAATGTTTTCACATAACATCAATAAAAACATTGAGAAGTATTAGATATATTTAAGAATTTCATGTAATAAAAAAGGAAATATTTTTAATCAGATATTTACATGCATTGAGTTTATCTCAGAAAAAACATATACTTGTGCTTATCTAAGACTTCTGAATATGAAAGGCAAAAGTTCATATTAATTTTAAAGATCCAAATCATTTTGTTATCTTTAAGTACAAGGTTATGAACTGAAGCTTTATAATAATGAATAAAAGTTTTAAAAAACATGGTATAAGTGAGGGTTTTATGCTGCAAAGAAGAAATGGTTGTAATATAATTATTTGAATTGAAAATCGGAAATTGCTTGCGAAATCAAAATAAAGGATTCGATTTTTATTCTGTGTCACAGCTGTCATTAATGAAAACTGAAATGATTGATATGAAGAGAGTTCTTTGAGGCATGTCTGTTTTAAATTTATGCTTAAATGAAGGTACAGAAATACTTTACATAACTATAGAAATACTAAAAGAATTTTTTCTCTTGAAACTTAGAATTTTATTTTCATAACGTCAAAATGAATTGCATTAATTATTATATTAAAATGTTTTGTAAAATTATAGTGGATTAAAGAGAGTTTTCTTTTCAGAATTAGTGATGCTCTTTTAGCTGATGCAAGAGCGGACTTTACAACGTTAAAACAAAATTTTAATATTATGCAGTTTGAAATAATGTTAAATGTCTTCGTTATAGTATGTTCATTATATATCAATCTTCATTGAACTTTTTAATGTTTATTATAAAATACTGAATTCAAGATCATTTTATATGCTAATTGCAGCAGAATTTAAAGATTGATTTCATAAAGAATAGAAAAATTTACATACTTTAAACCTTTGCTGTTGCTTTTTTTTTTTTTTTTTTGTGCATGATTGAATATTGTATTAGAGTTAAATTGAAGATTAAAAAAAATATGAAGATGTATTTTAATTATTTATATACAGCTTTTGAGTGCTGAACCAATTAGGAAAGACACTATTATCAGTGGAAACATTTTCCCATTAAATTTTACCTTTGTTCTGGATTTATATACATTTAAAATGATTTTTATTGAGTTTATAGTTCATCAATTTGTTTAATATATGTTTAAAATTTTTAATCCTGTGCTCATAAGAATGATTTTATATATTGCAGCTTTTAATTATTACTATTTAATGTAACTTTATATGTATATTTTAGTTAAAAATTATGAATCTAAATCAGCCATTGATGCATTTATAATTTTGAAGTCATCATTTTGTCCTTGCTGTGGGTAACTAAAGTATGTGAAACTAAAGTGCTTTATATAGTTTCTTACATTTTAGTTATCAGTATCTTTATATCTATAAATTTCAGTACTGCTGTAAAAAATTGTGTATCCTTTATTCTTAGGGTGAAATAGATGCGAGAGAGGATAGTTTCAGAGCTACTGCAGAAGCAGGAAAAATGTTGTTAGATCAAGACCACTATGCAATTGATGAAGTCAAAGAGAAGGTATGTGTTTAATTATATCTGTGACATTATTCCTTTTTGTTAATATGTTTTTCATGACGTATAAAATTATAAGTTGAACTAAAAAATATTGTGTAATTTAAACAGTTAGTTACTCTAGCGAGTGAGAAACAGTCCTTGTTATCCTTATGGGAGGAACGACGTATACTGTATGAACAGTGCATGGATTTGCAGCTATTTTACAGAGATACAGAGCAAGCTGATACTTGGATGGCCAAGCAAGAAGTAAGAAATAAATTCTTTTGTGTGGTTATGTGTATTTTTGTTTGTTTATTTGTGTTTTGTATCTGCAGCATTGAAAATTTTTAAATGAAAGACTATTAACGTATTAGATGATTTCAAAATTTTCTATTTAATACTTAGTCTTTAGTTTGTTTTTCAATTTTGCTTAATTAGAAAATATTTCTTAGGCATTTTTAGTCAATGAAGATCTTGGTGACTCTCTTGACTCTGTGGAAGCTCTAATTAAAAAACATGAAGATTTTGAGAAATCGCTAGCAGCACAGGAAGAAAAAATAAAGGTAGTATATCCTTATTTAAATGTTTTAATTTTGCAGTGTGAAATATAAAATTGTGTACAGTAGTAGAAGACTGATAAACCCATTAATCTGCCAACACTTGAAATCCGTGAAATCTTTCTTATGTCACTATTGATAAGATTGTGAAGTTTCAACTAAAAATCAGAAATGCGCAATGAGTGATGTTATGGCTGAGGGATAGGTCTATTGTAAAAGGTATTTCTGCCACTTGTTGGTTATTAAGAAGAAGGAAATAAATTTATGTTGCAGTGAAGAGGCTGAGTTTAAACAAAAGCTTTACGCGATTGCAATTTATCTGTGCTTTAGGTGGAGGTATGAATTTAGCTTTGGTGACTATGGCCAACATCTGAACTATTTGCAACTCATTCTATATTGAAGCAAGTTATGATTATCACTTTTATAAATGTTCCCAATATTTTGACATTAACTGCCAATCTGGTACCCCTAATTGAAGATGTATTCTGCAGTTTTAATTGGGAGAATTCTGCAGTTTTAATTGGGAGGAGGGAATATAGCACAGGGGAATTTGTTTAACCATTAGTGCAATCAGAGCTAGGAAATTGTATTTTTTCCTTAACATCATAAGAAATTTTAAAGTTTTTAATTTTTCCTGTGAGTAATAATAAGAAAGTGAATTTAGAACAAAACTCTAATTGATCAGGAAGTTACAATTATTTATAGTTTGCAGAAATATTAATTTTTAAAAAATGGAACGATTAAAAGTTTTGAAACAAACTGCTATAAAGCAGACGTTTGAGAAATGTTAAAAATAATTTCTTGTGTGCTTTTTTTATACTTTTTTGATAGAAATTAATTTTTGTAAGTGTTAGGTTCATTTTTGATTTAAAAAAATCTAAAATATAATTATTTTTTATTTATGACCTGAATTTATCATTTGTGACCTGATCTGCACAGCTTGGAATATGAGGTTGTATTATAGCCTCATATCCCAAGCTATGTAGATTTTTGGTCTTCTGTTATATATATATTTTTAATGAAAAAATATTAATGTGTTCTCTTCTAAATTTTTAATCAACATCAGACTTATATCGTTTTCTCTGATCACCTATTATTTTTTCTCCAAGGCTCTAGATGAATTTGCAACCAAGCTGATTGAAGGGCAACACTATGCAGCTGATGATGTAGCACAGAGAAGAGCTGCTGTGAGTTTCTGTTTTCTTCTATAGAGTAGTTTAAACTGATGGGCCACATATTTTATGCAATTATTTATCTTTGTGCCCCCAAAAGGAGGAATTTGCATAATTATTTTTGTTCCTTTGGTCCATTAACTTTACTTTTTCTCTTTTTGTTAAACTGCTTAATTTGTTTAATCCTGTAATTTAAGCAGAATTTAATATTAATTTGTATTAGAAATAAGTTTTTAGTTATTTATTATCCACCTAAAGATTCACCTGCTTAAATTGTTTTCTGGATTTTAGTTGCTAGAACGAAGATCAGCTTTAATGGAAAAATCTGACATCAGAAGGTCTATGTTGGAAGACTCTTATCGCCTGCAACAATTTGAAAGGGACTGTGATGAAACAAAAGGATGGATTAGTGAAAAATTAAAGACAGCTACGGATGAAAGTTATTTGGTTTGTATATCATAAATTTTTCTTTTTGGAATGTATTAGTTTATAAAAAGTTCTTATTTTTATGTATGTGGAACCCTCTTTTTTTTAAAAAAAAATAATGCATTATAAATGTTTTCATAATCTATATTCTAAATATTTTTATTTAAACTCTTTTATAATTGACTTCATATTAAGTTATTATTTTAAATCGTCATTAGTTTCCTCTGAAATATGAATTGTGGAAGCATGACTTGTGTTAATATGCCATAATGGTAATTTTTATTTTTATGGAACACATTATCAAATTTAAGCTCTTAAATCTCACCATTTTTCTTAATGTTATTATGAATTTACTTTAGAATCCCATTTATTCGAATTAATTGGCATAGCCTCATTTCAGATATTAAAATTTTTTGGGTAACCAGTAAGAATTATTTTATTTATTAGTGAGAATTATTTTATGGGGATAAATACATACATACTACATTAAAGCAAAAATATTAATTGCAATACATTTATGTATCTATATTATTTAAAATAATGAGAGTTCTTGTATTCTTTGCTTTCTCACAAAGCGTGCAAACTGTTTTGTACCACCATTAAATGAAAATCGTCCATTAAATGTACCACCATTTTGTACCACCATATACATGAAAATCGTCTCCTGGAATTTCAGTTCAGTATTTATGTGTACTGTATTCTGAGGTTACTGGTTTTTCATTCTAAACTATGTAGTTATCTCAAAATAATGAGGCAATGAAAAGAGCTGATTTAGGGAAAAATCAGAGATGGCCAATTTTCAGGAATGCAGTGTTAACATGTCTTCTACTCTACGTCTTCATTGTTAAGCAAGGTTTTACTATGCATGTACTAAATGCATACTAAAGTGCATACTAAATGCATTTAAATTTGTGTAAATTTTATGTTTTAATTTATTTAGAATGTAAAATAAATATTACAAGGAGTTCACTTAAAATTTGTTAGTTTATCTTAAAATATTGATTTCATCTTGAAAAGTAATATAACCAATAAACTGAAAAGTTTTTATATCAAGTCTAACAAATGAAATTCTGATAAAATATTACCATTTTAGCAACAGCAATGACCTCTTGACACTGTGAAAGGAATGCATGTATTTTTCAAAAGCAACGTCTTGCTCTAGAAACTTTTCTTATCATGCACAGTCTTTCACTGTGCTTTGATATCATTGCTTCGAAGAAACATATTTTATTTCATTGTTTTCTGAGTAAAGTCTTTCAGCATGAATTATACCTTTGTCTCAGAAGAATTTAATTGCAAATGTTTGTCCTTTAGCAACTGGCAAATTGTGTAATTCATTTAGATTTTTTTTTTTTTTTAAATAAATAAACTGCCACTTCAGTAAAAAGAACTTCAAAATCTTTTATAGAAGATTACTAGATTAGTGTTTATTCTTCCTGCCTCCTTGCAGTGCTGTTATTACATAACTACTCATGTGATATAAACATGTTACTACATTTCACATTTTGGCATTATTAACTAAGTACCAGAAAAAGTGTTTTCCCTCCATGTATATTTTAGTGCGTCATTTAAATATCTGAATTTCAGTTGAGAAAAGCTGAAGCAAAAACAGTGTTTTAACAACTTTAATTTAATTGCATAAATAATTGGAAATCGGCTTATTTTTAAATCTGATATAACACATTGTTTATTGCATTTTGTGCTTTGAGTGTTATGAATGATGAAATTTTTGCTTTAAATAGGATCCCACTAATGTGAATGGAAAGGTCCAAAAACATCAAAATTTTGAACAAGAACTGAATGCAAATAAAAGCCGTATTGATGAGATTGCTAGCACAGGGCAAGAATTAATGGAAGCAAATCATTATGCATCCTCTAGAATAAGGTAATCATTTTCTATATATTTGTATCAAATTTATGTTGAAGTTATATATATGTAATTTTAAATACTGTTGTGTGTGTTAAAATTAGTGAAAGTAATTTAAAGTTTTCTAGTCGGTATATATTCTGAGTTTTCTTGTCTAATAACAGTAAAATTCAGTCTACAATTTTCTATAAAATTCGTTATTACAGTCTTATAACAGTAAAAACTTTCATTGTGTAGCTTTCATTAATTATTATAAAAGTAAAATATGTATTTGAGATATATATGCATACATTCTGATTTTTGGGGTGTATAGTGAGCGAATGATGGAGATACTGGATATGTGGAAATCTTTGGTTGAAGCTACTGAGAGGAAAGGTGCAAAACTAAATGAAGCAGCAGCACAGCAGCAGTTCAATCGTGGAATTGAAGATATTGAAATTTGGCTGTCTGAAGTGGAAGGGCAACTTTTATCAGAAGACTATGGAAAGGTCTGTAATTTTTTTAAAAATCCTTTAGGAATTTTGTTTTATTTTTTTATGTTTTAATAAAACAAAGTTATTTAACTTTAATAAATTATTAGTTCATATAATAATTTATTAATGATCACGTTAAAAAATAAAATAAAGTTAAATAATGTATAAAATTTTAAAATAAAAAAATCTTTTAATTATAAAAAAATTTTAATTATTATATGAAAAATTATCTTTTAAATTATTATGAGTTAAATTTTTGTAAATAGTACTAATTCAGGATTTAAAAAAAATTTTAATTAATTGTTTATCAATGAACGAGGATCAATCTTGAGTCTGAAAATATACTAATAAAATATACCTGATCTCTTTTTTTGGGGGGGGATATGATAATATCACGCTTTGCAAAGAAGGTTAACTAATTTAAGACATTGTCATGAATTTAGCCACTCAATACTGCATTCTAATTCTATAAAATTCAAGCGAGTATTTGTAATGATAACATGATTTAAAAATCAGATGCCTGAATTGTCTTTTAATATCATCATGATTAATTTAGAAACAATATAGAGTATAATTAATATAGAAAAAGTATATTTTTCATTAGTTACATGTGTGTTCCTTGTTTATTAAATATAATGTTAATCTTTTATTTATTTAAAAAAAGTGCTATTGAGCACTGTGTTTATGATAAAATATTTAGACAGAATTGTAAAAAATACAATTAGTAATGTTTAAGACAGTGTACTACCTACTGCCCTTTTATGTTATGGTAACTGTAATTAAATATTTGCAGGGATATTTCAGAGCAAGAATTTTTTCTCCTAATCAAAGTATGTCAGGTTTTTATTTTATGATTATTAATTGACAAGGCATTAGTAGATAGAGGGGGGGATCACGATTATGGGTTAAAATTAATGCAGAGTTAACATAATAGAAATCTTTTAATTTCCAGTTTTTTTCAGCGTTATAATATATATAAAAATATGTACCCTAAAAACAATTTAAATGAAACTTTAAACACATTTAAAATTGTTTGGTTTCTAAGAGCTGTAGAATTTTATTTTAACCCATGAGAAAGATAGATGTACATATCATCAAAAATTTAATACATACTAGAATAGCAAAAATACAGGCTTGTATGTGTGAAATGATAAATTAATAGCATACTTCTGGATAAATACATGCAAATTAAGATATTGGAAGTTATGTGGAAGTTGGTATTTAACAGAGTTTATTTTCAGGATTTAACAAGTGTGCAGAATTTAATAAAGAAGCATGCTTTGTTGGAAGCAGATATTGCATCACATCAGGTCAGTATGTTGTTTAATCTCGCTTATTTTTTTTTTTTTTTTATAAAATTATATTTCTAATTGAAACTGAATTTTATGATGCTAAAATATTAGATCTGTAATAATGGTGTTCTAAATTTATAGAGTAAACATGCTGTAATTTTTGACTGTGTGCAAGATAATTATGAATGTGTGTATGAATATGTAAAGTGAATAGTAATAAGAAACTAGATATTATGATGCTAGGTACAGTCAACCTTGTTAGCAGGTCACTTGAAATTTATCCAGCTTGTATTTCCATATAGTATATACTGGTTGTTAAGTCACTTTTAAATTCTTGATTTTGGCTATCAGGTCTCATCCGAACTCCTTGTATGAAAAAGATTAATTTCCCAGAAAGAGAATTAAGATTTTTTTAATATCTAAAATTTTTCTCTAGCCTGAACTACATTGTTACCCTCTTTAGAAATCCATCAAATCAGTAAGCATTTATCAATCAAGATAACAACAATCTATTTCCCTAGGGATTTAGGTGTACATGTTCTTCTAACCTCTGTTTTGCAAACATTGCTTGCAATTCATATTTATGTAAATTAAAAGTACAGAATATTTCCAGACCATTTATTTTCGTAACTATTAGGTTATGATCTTAAAATACTAAAATTGTATGTGAATATGATCAATACATTTTCAATATTTAAAAGCATATAAAGCACTTGTGTGGAAAGGCTTTTGCCATAACAAAAGTAACAAAATTATAAATTAAAAAAATTCTACAATTCGAAGTTATAAAGGAATATCAATAACAAATATAAAATGAGTAGAAAATCAACCTTGAATTATCCAAATATATTTTTTAGCTGACCCCTCAAAGATTATGATAAATTTGATTTTCTGGCACGGTAAAATCCATGAAAATCCCAAACTTTAAAGGGCTGCCAGTAGCTGAGTAGTAAAGTTGCTGAATAGCTGAAGTTTGGCCTCTTGTTTGATTCGAGGGGATTGGTTTGGTTTCATGGGCATGGCTTTTTACTGTGTGTAATGTGATACAAGCCAGTGTCCCTTAGAAAGTCCTTCATGAAGGCATCCCTTCCTTTATGCGGATACCCCAAGCATGCTTTGCCATAATCAAACTTAAACAAATTAAACCCAAACTTTAAAATTAAGTATATGAAGGAATTTTTATTGTTCAGATATATATATCTTGTATTTTATTTTTCTGGATGTGTAACTATAGGTAGGGGCTGAGGCATGGTGGTGGAAAAATGGATTTTTTTAAAATTAAAAATAATATGCCCAGACATAAATATATGCATTATTAAAAACATAATGTGATTGGAAATGTATGTGTGTATCCAACAGTTATGAAAATTATAAAGACATATACTATATGGCCTATGAGTGGCTGGGTGGTAAAGTCACTGTACCTGGTAGTTTTAACCAGATTCCTGCATGGCAGTTTTCATGGTTTTCCTCTTGCATATTATGAATGCAATCTAGTCTGTCTTAAAAAATCTACAAAGTAAGTAGCTACAAAGCTTTAGTAAATAATTATGCTGAAAAGAAAAAAGGTACTCTGTAAGCACATTATTTACAGAAACAGTTACAGTTTGTTATTCTGTAATACAATACCTTTTTTTAACTGTGTGGCAGATAGTTAAAATCAACCTTGTTGCTTACTGCTTCACATACAAATCATAGGTAGCTTTTTTTCTGAACTTGTATTGTCCATAGAATATCATCCTGTGATGCCTTTTTAACCTTTTCAAAGAGGAAATTATCACAAGACAATCTGGAGAGTATATTTGGCACTTTTTAACATCTCATTATGTATAAATATCATAACCATTGCGAAGTTTTGAAAATCTTTTAAGATTAAATAATATTAAGACCAAATTGCAAATGTAAAATTTAATGAAAATTTTCATAGCTTTTCATTTTACATATCAGCTTGTGATGGGGGAAGTTGCTTTAATTATCAAATGTCTGTTTAGGTCAAAAAAGGATAAAATGTTTTAAGGATGTCATTCAAATGGGTAACTTTTGACAAAAGAATTCTGTATATTATATATATATTCTTTGATTTGCAACTATTGTTTCTTACTTTAACATATTGTACATTTTGCCGTATTTTACTACTATTATCGTCTCTACATATGTTGTCTTACACCGTATCAAGAAAATTCTTTCATATTTATTGCAAAGTAAAGATTTAAATTCAAAAATTATATTACTCTGCAATTTTTGGCATAGGGGTATTGTTAAAAAATGCATGCAAGATGAAACATGGTCAGATTGATTTGTTAATGATTTTATGGAAAGAGACTAATTTTCCACTTGAAAAGTCAGGATCTTTCTGTGGAATTGGCAACAGTTTTTCTTGTAAAAAATTGTAATATTTTTATATTTGAAATTTTTCTTGAAGTTTAATACATATTGCAGCCTTTACTTTATGCAATATGTACAACCTTTAATATGTTATCTTAAAATACTAAAACTGTATGCGAATATGATTAATACATTTTTAATATTTAAAAACATAAAAGCACTTGTGTGGAAAGGCTTTTGCCATAACAAAAGTAACAAAATTATAAATTAAAAAAATTCTACACTTCGAAGTTATAAAGGAATATTAATAACAAATATAAAATGAGTAGAAAATCAACCTTGAATTATCCAAATATATTTTTTAGCTGACCCCTCAAAGAAAGTGAAACTCCCATTGCAGTGGTATTCCATGTAAAAATTTCTTAATACATTTATATTTTCTTATCATTTCCTGGGAGATAATCAAATTGAACTTAATTATTAATCTGCGTTATATGCATATATAATTTTATATGCATCAAGACTTCAGATTAAAATATGATAATCTAAGGAGACTGCTAAGCTGTAAGATTATTTGCAATGAAATGTAGCTGGATAATTTATTCTTCAGCTTTATCTATAAAACTCGTAATGACTAAATTAATTTTTTGCTAATTTATCATTTACTATGAGTATTTAATTTAAAACATGGATGATTCAGAATTTCAGTTATTTGAGCAAAATTTGAAGTTCTGTAAATATCAGTTAAGAATAGGGAAACTTTTCGTAATTAAAATAATTTTGCTAGTTTTGGTGAGTTCAGACTAGAGAGAGTAATTTATTTTGGTAGAATTTGTTATAAAATCTTAATTTGTAGGAAGTTTTATTTTGAAATTAAATTAAAAAATTGATTGACATGCATTATAGTTATCCCAGGCCTGAATTATATTTTAAACAAAATATGTTCAATGGAATTAGGATTACATTTCTTTACATGAGTCATTATTATTAATATTCAGTTATTTCTCTTAATAATTAGTAAAATTTTGGGAAAGCCTAAGAAATGAGTATTTGTTTTATTCCTTTTAGTGTTTGGTTGTTTGGATAGTTTTTTAAATTCTACTAAAACATTTTAAAATTCTTTTTAGGATCGAATTGATGGTGTAGTAATTCAAGCTACAAATTTTGTTGAACGAGGTCATTTTGATGCACCATCTATTCAGTCCAAACAAGTTGCTTTGGTCGAACGATACAATGCTTTACAGAAGCCAATATCACTAAGACGTCAGCGTTTACAAGATTCTCTTAGAGTTCAACAACTGTACAGAGATATCGAAGATGAAGAAGCTTGGATTCGAGAAAAAGAACCTATTGCTGCTTCTACAAATAGAGGTATGGTAATGATTTCAGAAAGTTAATTAAAACTTGAATTTTATTTTATCAATAAAATCAGTAAGAATATTTTTCATGGATTACTGAACTTTTTATTTATTTTCTCTGTCTTTTGATGAATAAAATTTTCTTTTCTAGGACGGGATCTTATTGGTGTCCAGAACCTTATTAAAAAGCACCAAGCCATGCTTGCAGAGATAAATAATCATGAAAATAGAGTTCGTTCAGTGTGCCAGTCAGGTGAAGAAATGGTGCAAGAAGGTAAGATCCTTGGCACAATTTAGATGTGATATAGGTGGATTATGCTTCAGTTAAGAATTTGTACTTTAAAAACTTTCATCGATAAAATATATAATTTTCTTTTTAGGCCATTTTGCTTCAAATGAGATACAGAAACGATTAAGTAATTTGAGTGAAAAGTGGCAAGCTCTTAAGGTAATTCATGATCAGTTTTTGTGATAAAAATATTATTTTTGAATGATGTTTAATATAATAAAACTTATTTAATTGTAGGAATAACCAGTTTGCATTATTACTTTTGTTTCGTGCGTAATTTTGTTATTAAACTTTTTGAAGAGTTAAAATTTAAGTATTTTAATTTGAAACCTGTTAATTTGTGTTTTTGCTTCTAATTTCAGAGTCGTATGATTTATTTGATTTCTAAAACTGAGTCTTTTTTTAAAACTTTTGATTATATGCTTTTATGTTAGGATAAAGCTTTACAGCGAAAACAAGATCTCGAAGATTCTTTGCAAGCTCACCAGTATTTTGCTGATGCCAATGAAGCTGAATCTTGGATGAAAGAAAAAGAGCCAATAGTTGGAAGTCAAGATTTTGGAAAAGATGAAGATTCTACCGAGGTTAGAGGAATATAAATATTGATTTAAAAAAATGGGAGTTTTTTTATGCAAATATAAAGTCAGCTTAGGAAATTGCAAAATTTAATTATGTATTGTAATTTCAGTCTTTACTGAAGAAACATGAAGCTCTAATGGCTGATCTAGAAGCTTTTGGAAACACTATATTTGCCCTCAAAGAGCAAGCACAGTCATGTAGGGTAAGTATTAAAATAGTCATTTTACAGTGTATTAAGCATTTTTAATTAGCCTGTGTATATTTTAAGAATGCTTTCTTTATGTATTATGTTTTTATCAATGTATTTAATCTTTTTATAAAGTAGATAAATGAGTGCTATAAAGATATCAAGTGACGAAGTCTGCTTTGTGAGTCGTAACTCTATTTTAAAAGACAATAAATATGTGTGAAACCAAGCAGGAAGAGAAAAACGAAAATGTAAAATTTGGCAAAATAACAACCTTGTTTTCATGTCAATTTTAAATAAAATGATCAATTTCAAGCACAATCAGACACTGCTCCTCCTTCTTCAGAAGCAAAAAAATTCTGCTGAATACTTTTGAATATCTGTGCTTTAACTCAGACAATGTATGATTTTTTTCCCTCAAATGAGGATATCGTTTTAGGTTACTTGTTGATATATTTGAGCTTTCTTCTTTAGTATTATATGATATGTTATGCTTATCATACAAGACATTATTATATACATGACTGGTCTTTTATAATATATTCATAATAAAAAGCTTAAAGTAATACATGATTTATTATGTCAGAAATTTTGAATGTTTAATGAAACATGAAAATATTGTAATTTTGTTTCTGGTTATGAAAGCTATTTTAAAAGTAAAATATCTAAGTAAATGTGAAATAAAAGAAAATGTTTTTCATATGAAGAAAAAAATTTATTTGTTAATTGCAAATAATTTTTTTTTTAAAAGGAAAAGTTTAAAAAGGTTTTACAATTTAAGATACTCTTCTTGGTACCCTTCTTGGTAGGGACGCTTCATATGTTATTCCTGGCTTTGTAGGGAGATAATGCATTAAATATTTAATTTATATCTATAATTTCAATGTTTTAATTCTGAAAATTTGTACCGCACGAGAAATAAAACATTGTAAAAGGATATGTGAGATTTCAATAGCGCACAACAGATCCAGTGAGAATCTAATGAATAATTCATGGTTGATTCATGAAATCATACATCATGATATCGATACTTGAAGTTTCTATATCAGGTATTTTTTTATGATGCTTGTAGCCAGTCACTTCGCTTTGTAGCTAGCCATCAAATTTTTCTTTTCTGTTTAATTTACTTTAAGCATACTAATTATCACAGTTACCGGAATCTAAAAGTATTGGAGTGGTAGCTTACTGCTAAGTTTATTTACACTGGTCTTTGGTTTTCTGTGTTTTTATCAGAATCTTGAGAGCAAGTTGTAATTTGTTTTCAAGCCTCTAAGATATATATACAGTACAAAGTCCGTAATCCAGAATGATCTATAATATGGACATCAAAGCCACAAACGATTTTTTTTTTGTATGCCTTATGCATGCGCGTTTAATGTATAATGGACAATATAAGTTAGGCTAAAATTATCTTTACTGATTCTAAGGCATTTCAGTTAATGTTGCAGATTGTGCTGTTCCTTAATCTTTTAATTGGATCCAGCTTATTATTTTTTGCAGACTGTTAGAGCAATGTTATAAAAATTAAGCTTGAACTTTCGATTATGTCAAAAAGAGTTTCCAATTCTGGAGCTGCCAAAGGATCGACAAAGCGAAAGCATATTTCAACATCCATCAAACAAAAAGTGGTATGGGTCAGTAACTGAACGAGAAAGTATTAGCACAAAAAATGAAGCAACTTAAAACAACTTACAGTGAAAGAAATTATGTCTTTTTATAGAATTAAAGAGAAAGTATTAGCAAAAAAAAAAAAAAAAAGCAACAAAAAAAAAAAAAAAAAAACACAAAAAAAAAAAAAAAAAAAAAAAATAAAGCAACTTAAAAAAAAAAAAAAAAAAAAAAAAAAAAAAAAAGTAAAAACAAAAAAAAAAAAAAAAAAAAAAAAAAAAACAAAAAAAAAAAAAAAAAAAAAAAAAGAAAAAAAAAAAAAAAAAAAAAAAAAAAAAAAAAAAAAAAAAAAAAAAAAAAAAAAAAAAATTGTTGAAAAAGACAAAAAACACAAAAAAAAAAAAAAAAAAAAAAAAAAAAAGCAAAGAAACAACGTATGAAAGAAAGGGTTTAATAAAGTAAACAAATAAACATGAAGTTTTTTTTTGGTAAATTTTAATAACTTTTAGATCATAATTGCTCTTTATTTCATAAATTATGGTTTCATATTTTTAATTGTATAGTTTCTGCATGCCATCCTACCAGATTTAAATTGATGATCTATAATCCGGAAAAACCCCTAATGCGGAATCGCCGAAGTCCTGACGAGTCCGAATTATGGACTTTGTACTGTAATTATAAATAACATATTTTTCTTATGATTGTTGTTAAAGCAATTTTTAGGAAGTAGTATATTGCACAATTATTATATTGAACACATCATATTGTTTACTTCTCTCTGAGATGACATCTGACTTAACGTCTTATAGACCAAACTTAGTCTTATTGTGTGTACTGTAATTATGGTGTGTATATATATATATCAATCATATTTTGTTTTCAGCAACAAGAACGTCCAGTTATTGATCATGCTGGTAAAGAATTTGTCATGGCCTTATATGATTATGTAGAAAAAAGTCCAAGAGAAGTTTCCATGAAGAAATCAGATGTTTTGACTCTTCTAAATAGCAATAATAAGGTATTTTATTTTTAATGCCTTAGTTATTATTTTGCAAACATTAAAATATAGTTATTGCATATACTAAATATTATCCATCTTATGAAACATCAGTATTTCATGAGAGCAGATTTATTCTGTTCATAAATTATCTCATTGTCATTCCATTTCAATGAATTCGTAAATTAAACTTATGTAAATGAACAGAATTTATATTTAAAAGCATGAATGGAAAGAGAAAGAACAGCATTAATGATGAGAGTCAAATTAGAAGTCTTTCATATAGCTCCAATAAATGTATAGGGTGATGTATCAGTTAAAAATATTCCCATTTAGTTTTAGTCAGTCTATAAAATCCCTGCTTGATAAATTCATATATGGCCTTTAGATCAGGTTTCTTTAAAGCACTGAATTAGGAAGGAACAATTTTTGTGTCAACAATATAAAAAATGTTTTGAAGCATCTAATTTGACTATTAGCTTACCTGAAGAATCAGTTATGCAGTGAATGCTTGTAATGAAATGAAGGAGGGAACTTTTTTAATACGACTAATATATAGCTGGGAACTTTCATATCAAGGGCCTTAATTGCTGTGATTATCACCACCTTATAACTTTTATGAGAAATAAATGTATAATAATATACTTGCATTTGATAACTTACTCTAACAAGCATGCTGTTTAGTATAATATATACTTAATTTATATAATGGGAAGTAATGTACCTTTGTATATTGATTAGAAATATTTGTGTTACCTTTCCAGGATTGGTGGAAAGTTGAGGTCAATGACAGACAGGGTTTTGTGCCAGCAGCTTATGTGAAGAAAATTGAAGCTGGGATTTCATCTGGTCAGCAGAATTTGGCTGATGCAAATAATATCTCTGCTCGACAGGCTCAAATTGAGACCCAGTATGAGAATCTGATGGGTCTTGGTCAAGAACGTAGGAACAAATTGGAAGAATCATGTAAAGCATATCAACTGGTCAGAGAAGCTGCTGAACTTGCTCAGTGGCTGAAAGATAAGGTATATTCTTTAAGTGTATTTTGTTTTGCAAAAAATATAGGTATAGATTAAGCAAAATATGTTTAAGTAATGTAAGAGTTTTCTAATCTAATTTCAAAATTAACCCCTTGGCCTACACGATATCTGCCAGTTGCGTGAGCTATAGTAAACAAGAAATTTGGTCTCGCACCGTACCATCCAGCTGTTCAGCCGTGTACCCGAACTGCTGCAAAATATATACTTTTCATGAAATATATGTATTTCAGTGTAACGAAAGGAATTGTGAAATAATAAACAGGAAACATTTAAGTACAAATAGTAATTTTAAGCCGTCTAGGGTATAATCATAATCAATTGATCAGTTGACAAAAATAATCGTATGATGGGTATGAGAGATTTTAATTCTTTATACGAAATTATATTTGAAACGTGTGAACGTAACGAGCTTTACAGGGAACTTAGTAACAGACATCCACGAAGCTAATAAAGAAGGGAAAAAAAAAAAAAAAAAAAAAAAAATACTGACATTACAATCAAAGAAAATATACAATCACAAAAAAAAAAAAAAAAAAAACCAAAAAAAAAAAAAAAAAAAAAAAAAAAAAAAAAAAAACAAAAAAAAAAAAAAAAAAAAAAAAACTCAAACACAAAAAAAAAAAAAGAAAAATATTTGTTTAATAAAAAAAAAAAAAAAAAAAAAAAAAAAAAAAAAAAAAAAAAAAAAAAAAAAAAAAAAAAAAAAAAAAAAAAAAAAACTATACAAGACTAAACTCCAATCGCTTGTTTTAATAATAATACGTGGCATTTTATGCACAAATTCCTCACCACGAGTCAGACTCGTGGCGTTTGTTTATGACACAAATTCTTTACCATGAGTCAGATTCGTGGCTTTTGTTTATGACAAATTCTTTACCACGAGTCAGACTCGTGGCTTTTGTTTATGGCACAAATTCTTTACCGCAAGTGAGACTCATGGTTATGGGCCAACAAGTTAAATGGTTTTGCTAATTATAAAATATGTATCTTGTTTAAAGCAGCATTTCTCAACCTTTTGAATAACACATACCATCTAAACAGAAATTGGAAACCTTTAGTACCACCACTACAAAGTACTACTACTACCACCACCACTCTTGAACAAGGCTCAGATCGCATAAATTTATGAGCATTAGAGAAAATACTCAGTCAGGATGTTGGGGCTTTAATTTTTGAATTTAATAGTTCAAAATACTCTGCTTCTTTGCATACCACCTAGTTTTCTCTTCCATACCACCGGTTGAGAACCCCTGGTCTAAAAGGTTGTACAATTATAATGCAATTTCATTATCAGTTAACAGTTTTAAGATAAGTGTTTATTATTTTATAATACTTTAGATTTACAGTGCAAAAAAAAATACATTTGAATTTTCTAGTCCATTTTATTTGCTTACAAAAACAAAATTGTAATTTCATTTTTTTCTGTCACTAATATTATCATTTAAATTAAAATTTCATTGTAATGTATATATTTTAGTATTTTTTACTGCAATATGTAGAAAACCTTCTCTGATTCTGATATGTTTATGAATTTCAACCAGAGGTTGTGCAGATTTTACATTTTAATGAATATTGGGTCATGAAAGAAAAATCGTTAAGATTCCTCCCTAAAAAATAATCAAAATAAATTTAAGAAAAAATAAACTCAAAAAAGCAATTGAATACCTTTTTACATTTTTTAGACATCTGTTTTATAGCAATTTAAGAATAGTCTATTCTTGTTTGAGGCTTTTTTTCCGTGCAAATTATTCAAATTATTTATGGTCGTTACTTTTTGATCACTTACATATCTTTGTTGTTCTGAAATTTTCAAATTTTGTTTCCTGTTATACCAAATTCTGCATCAAATGCCAGGTGTTATGTTTTTAGTTTTTTTTTTTTTTTTTTTTTTTAATTTATCATCATGATCAGAAGCTTCTTGCACTAGATTTTGAAAACACTGTCAATGAATTCAACATTATTGATTTTATAGTAGTCTTTTAATGTTTGTCCACATTTGCCATTCATTTCACAATTTGTGTTGTTATCCATAGTATTGTTCACTATAGTGTTTTGTTTCATTAGCAATTAGAAGCCGTTCTAAGCTTTAGATTTGATTAGTTCCGAACTAGAAAATTCATCACTTTCACGCTCTGTCTCAAAGTGAATGTGGTCGTAGGCTTTGTCTGAAGTTTATCGAGGTAAATTTGGAAACAAATGTTTTTAATTGGTAAATTTTATGATTTGAAATCTTATCGATGAAGTTCATGATTAAAATCAGAAAGGATAAGTATTGAATTTAAAAATTTTAAGTTTTTTTTTTTTTTTTTTTTTTTTTTTTAAAAACAACATATGTGGAAAATATTTTTGACTAAAATATAATTACAGCTTGAATGTATTTGAACAAAATGCTTTTCATCTGAAGTTACCTAATCTGTGAAGCATAAATTAAAATTACTGCATCCTAAGAGATGATTTATTTTTATTTATGACAGTATATGTATTTTTTTTTGGTGTAACATTATTTATTGTTTGTAATATGATTTTTTTTTTAAATTTCTACAAGTATACAGTTTTCATGATCTAGATGCCAATTCATATCAGTTAAGTGAACAAACAATAATAGTTATTCTGTTGTGAGATTAAAAAATATAACATCTCAAAATGTGACAGCATTTTGTATGATTCATATGCAAAAATTTCCCTTCCTGATGCATAATTTTCTGATTTTATGCTGCTCTTGGAACTTCATAACATACTCAACTATTAGGAAAATGTTAAATTTCATACCCTGCATATATTTAAGCTGAGCAGATAAAACAAATGAATTAATTCAGAAATACAATGCTCATTGCGAAGATTAATAAAAATTTTTACAGTTCTCCCTCTTATGTGCCCTTTTATATGAGAGTTTTTTTCTTGAAATACTTTTTTTCATGAAGCCAATTTTCTTAGGCACATTAATACATTGTAGTATATTGCACAAACAAAATGCAAAATAAAATAAAAACTGCATTTAAAATGTTTATCACAGTCAATTCAGAATAAATTATATGCCAAAACCAAAAAACCAGATGCGCAGATTGCAAAAAATAAGGACGGGCAAAATATATCGACACAAAAAGTTAAAGGCAATTATTATACTTCAGTCTTTATATATATATATATATATGTTATCAGCAAAGTATGAAAAGAATGCCGGACGTTTTTAGGCAAGGTATTCAATACGAGAATTATTATATACTTTCCCTAGGCATTCTGTACAATGGCAAATGCTCTTTAGGCAAAATATGAGAAAAGGTTATCATGAGGCTGTTGTTTGAAGGATGTTCATTCCTCAAAAATACAAATGTTATTTTGAAAAATTAATGAAAGAGTGCCATTAAACTGTTATTCGTTACCATTAAACTGTTACTGAAGTATGAAAAAAATAATAGTGAGATGATTTGGTACACCATAATAAATTTGTATTTTTTATCTGGCCGAGACTGGGAATCAATGAGAGCTACCTGGCAACGGAAATTAAATTCAGAAACAAACATAATTTTCACAACAATGTTCTTCTTAACACTTTTTGTTTTTTTCTGGCAGCAGGAGCGTAGTTAGAGGGGGGGGGCAACTGTCTCTGGACACAGTATCCAGGAGGTGCCAAATTGATGTTATGGAATTTGAAAATTAAATGTTTTCCATTCTTGGCAAATAGGAGGAGGTGTGAAATCTTCACTTGTCCCTGGGGGCTGAAAAACCTAGCTACGACTCTGGCAGGGCTCACAAAGGTGGTTGTACAGTTCAATATCATTACGTGTAATGTTTTTTTGTTTGGCTGAATGTGCTTTCAACATTCTGTCATGTCGTTTGTGCCCATTACTCAAATGAGTTTTCATGAAGTACGGAAAATAATTCAGCTTCTGTGATGTAATACTGTATAGTATTGATCCTTTCTTTAACAGGATAAATGAATGCAATTTTGTTTAATACAAACATCACATTTTACCGTTCAGCAGCCAGTAGTTCCGTGGTTCCTTCTTAGTAGTCATTTTGGCTTTTTTACATCATTTTTTAACTTCTGGTAAGTAGTTTCGGTTCTTCAAAATAAATCGAAAATGTATTTGATACTTTGACGGTTAGTTATTTGGCATTCTATAGAATGCCTAGGAAACATGTGAAATATGAATCGTTTTATAGATTGATAGCCGGGTAGTTTTAGGCATTTTATGGAATGCCGGATTTCAAACTTTGCCGGTAACATATGTATAAGAAAAGGTTTTTCATGTATCATCTCCAAGGAACAGAAATTTAATTAAAGTTATGAATTATTGTAATAAATTTTAGTCATTATTTTAAGTATAAGTTATTTAGATTCCTGTTGTACTAAAATATATATATGTAAATCAAAATTATATCTTAAATTAGCAATAGACCCTTAATTTTAATTTGAGTATTTCCCTTTTCTGTTCTCAAAATATTAAAAACTATTTCTGGACTGCATTATTTCTAGATAAGTCCTTATCATATGACTTACATAGTGCCAATGATGTTGCTAATTTGGAACTTAACTCAAAATTTCGAGAATCAAAACCTTTCTCTTTATGAGGTTCCATGTCGGATAACTCCTTTGCTCTTATCTCTGTTTTTGCTGAGATGTTGCTTTGCTGCTTTCTTACTATCATTTAAATATCAAAAATTTAAATGTTCTTGAAGAGGCATTTGTGTGCAAATTTGTTTGTGACCACAAAACGTTTACCGAAGTAAAAAATGAATATTCAGTTTGTCTCGACAGCCAGTTTTCCTTTTCATTGTAGATCAACATCCTGTGCAATCAATATTTCTACAACTTGTGTCTGCTTCATTTATATATATATATATATATATAGTATCTTGGGTATCTATAATACGTATATCCCTTCGAACAATATTTATCTTATTTTTCAGTCTAGTGTATGTGTTTTTAATTATGGAATAGCAATTTTATGATTTTTTACTTGGGAAATTTCATAATTAAATTAATGATATTTGCTTTGTAAAGAAAGCTTTTTTTTGTTTTTGTTTGTATCTTAATCTAGTGATTTTTGTTTTAATTAAAATCGATATGATTTTTATTTTAATATAGGAACAAATTGCACAAGTTCAAGATGTTGGTGAAGATTTAGAACAAGTTGAAGTGATGCAAAAGAATTTTGATGATTTTAAAGCAGAGCTGCATACAAACGAAACACGTTTACAGCAAATGAATGAGACTGCCCGCCGGCTCATGAGCTCAGGTCATACTGAAGCTGCCCTGAAAATACAGACTCAAATTGAAGTAAGTTTTCGTATTTACTGTAAGATTGCATGTCTTTTTCAGAGCATACTAGAAAATCTCTTTTTCTTTGAAATACTTATGTGTATTTTCATCACTTTTAGGATGTCAATCAAAAATGGCAAGAAGTACAGCAGATTGCTGCTCAAAGAGCTACACAGCTGGGATCAGCACATGAAGTTCAGAGATTCCAACGAGATGTTGATGAAACTAAAGACTGGATTCGTGAAAAAGATGAGAATTTGAACTCTGATATCTGTGGTGATGATTTGCGCAGTGTCCAAACTCTGCAGAGAAAACATGAGGGATTAGAGAGAGATCTAGCTGCACTTGGTGATAGGGTAAATTTAAGATTTTTTTCCTTTTAATTAAAAAAATAATACTGCAGTTAATTGTTGTACATTGTGGGAGTTTACAGCATTCTTGCTGTTAAAAATCTGCATGTATCTTTTAACTTCCCTAAAACGTATATCATGCTCTTGAGCTGATGCCTTATTGGTAATGTAAATCCTAACTAATGAATTCTAGCCTAATATTTAGTGACTAGTCAGTAAAATGTGAAACGTTTTTAATTATAATTTTTGAAGGTAACAATTGTATTTCTGATTTTACCATTTTAATTAAATAATAATGGTGTTAGCGTTAATTTTAAGAGATGCATTTATGCATTTTTCTGATTTGTTAAGCTGTATTTAAGCTACCATGCTAAAGGTATTTTTCAGGTGATTTTATTTTTATTTATTATTGAAGTTAAAATGAAATTTAGTATACTGTGACAAAAAATTGGGAATTCTGGAAAGTTAAATTGTTTTTGAAAGAGAAATGCATAAAAATTTGATCCATTTTTCAGATCCGAAGCTTAGATGATACTGCTAGTCGTCTAATGCAGACACATCCAGAGGCAGCAGATACTATATATACAAAGCAAAAAGAAATCAATGAAGAATGGACTCAGTTGACTGCCAAGGCTAATGCACGTAAAGAAAAACTTTTAGACTCGTATGACTTGCAGAGATTCTTGGCTGACTATAGGTAATTGTTAAATTTTATTTCCTTTTGTAGTGTGGGAGGTAGTTTGAATTTAAAGAAAAATAACATATATTTCTTCATATTTTAAAGTTGTAATTTTAATAAAATTTAAACTAAGGAATATCATACCAATTATATAAAAGTACTTGTTATTATTCATACCTTTAAAATGCTTTGATTTTCAAAATGTTCTCTGCACTTATGGCATCTTATCAGAGTAAGGAATTTTTTATTTACAATAGTTCAAATGAAAGAAATTAATAAAAAATTAATAATGCATTAAATAATTAATTTAATTAAAAAATATTAATATAATATTATTAATAAATTAATAATAATTAATAATTAAAATAATAATTAATAAATCATTTATTATCCCACCATTCTGTTTTGATGAATTACACTTTTATCTATTCATCATATTTAATACATTAACATTTTTTATTTTGAAATTTGAATTCAGTTCTATATGTTATTCATTTAGATGCTTTAATTCCTTAAAACATTTTCTAACTTTTTACATTTGCTGATCCTCTTAACTGAAGATGTGGGATCTCATGACAGAATGACTTAGATTTTGAGTTATTATTATTTTCATATTATCTATCTAATTAATGTGAAGTCTGTCCTTAATATGCCAAGTAATTAAAACTGATTTGTTTTACTTTTGATTAAAACATACTTCCTAATTCCATTAGTTTTAATTTATAATTCAAGAACGTAATCCTCTCTCATTTTTCTTAGTGTCAGTATCAGTCTGTCTATCGTAAACCATTGCACTGTCATCTTCAATAATGAAATCTTCATATGAAATATCATGTTCTGGCAAAATGTCTCCCTAACCCTCCATATCAGTTATTATTTTGATAGGCATATTTCTCTTTAAAAATAATAGTAGTTTTTTTTTTGGGGGGGGGGATGCTGATACTGATTTTTGTACTTTTTCTTTTGTTCACATGATAAACATTTACGTAACGGCATTTTATAGGAACACAATGACCTTTTTATGTGGGGATAACATTGCTAATGAAATGTATTTGGTGATTCCCCTCTGTGATGTAAAATTTTGAAATCTCCTGACGTTATTCATTCAAAATTAATACTTTTTGGGTGATGTTTTTGTATTTATAAGGATATTGGGCCTGAAAGGAAAATGATTGTGTTTGTAACATTTATGTTCCTTATAACTAAGTCTTAAATTTTCACATACTAATGATTAGTGCTACAGAGGTTAGAGATATTGTTTTTCAGAAAAATTGGTAATAATAATAAAAAAAAAAAAATAATGTTAAATATAGAATTTTTATTTTTGTGTGAAGAAATTGCTTCATAAAGCAAAGTATGTGTATAATTCATTAATATTGTATTATTTCTTATGAAAAATGCATAATTATTTTTATTCAATTTCCATATGAAGTGTTTTAGAGAGGTATTATATATGTTTAATATATTTACAACCTCAACATCCATTAAAATGGATGTAGTTCTTTAAATAAACAAATTTCTTTGATAACAGCATTTTTAGATTATTTATATGAAACTAAAAGAATAAAAATTATTTGTTGAATCCTTGGTTTCATGAGAATATGTTTAAACTTGTAATCGTATACATGAACTTCAAATTTTTTGAAAAATTGTTCTTAAAAAAGAAAAATTAATTTATCCTAATTACTTTTATTAAATAAATTATGGTTTTTGCAGAGTTGCCAACTTATTTCTGACTGTTTTCTCACCAACCTAATTTACAACATATATCTCCCTACATTATCTTATTCTTAAAATTTTCCACCATTTTTATGTAGCTTGGTTTAATACTTCGATAGTTATAAAGAAAACCAAGCGTCATTTGATCAGTGAGAAATTATGGCATACTTCTTTGTGAGTGAGAACATATTGTTATGAATTTGGTATTTAAAAAGCTAATGTTAGTTCAATTATAAATTAAATGGTTTTATTTCTCGCGCAGTGCAGTGCGTGTGACGTATATTAAAAGAAAGCTAAGCAGGAAAATTGAAAATACAAGAACGCGTGCATTAAATAAATAAATATCTCTTTTTGATTTCGAGAAAGTACTGGAAAATTCTAGCGCGTGATTTTAAAATCTTATAAAAGGAGGAAAACATCTCAGTTTGTAAATTACAGTCACCTTCGGATGGTCCATATAGTGTGCTGAACAGACTGAATGACGTCGTGGTTCGGATTCCCACTTCTGACACCAAAAATTGTTGCGTGCATACGGGTTCGTTATGAAATGAATGCACAAGTCCGATGAAAAATGAACAAAAATTTATTATTATCGCAACAAAAAATGCTTTAATTTTCTCAAATTATCATGCAGTATTACTATATCTCACAGTAGTTATCTTTTAACTACTCAAATGTTCAATAGAACGTAATTCAAAAACAGCTAAAGAACGCTAATCCGCGAATTCGCTACAATCAACAAGAGCAGTTTTCTAAACAACAACAAACTAAGCAACTACTACAAACTGAGATGTTTTCCTCCTTTTATAAGATTTTAAAATCGCGCTAGAATTTTCCAGTACTTTCTCGAAATCAAAAAGAGATATTTATTTATTTAATGCACGCGTTCTTGTATTTTCAATTTTCCTGCTTAGCTTTCTTTTAATATTCGTCACGCGCTGCACTGCGCGAGAAATAAAACCATTTAATTTATAATTGAACTAACATTAGCTTTTTAAATACCAAATTCGTAACAATATTCTTTGGTCTTTAAATATATTCTTTGGTGAGAGCACTTCTTTTTTGGCGAAGCTTTTCTTCTTAACAATGCATATTCTTTGGCAGATGTGTCTGAAAATGTCATGTCCCAGTTCTCTAATGAGCATCAAGTGCCACTGCATGTCATCTGGTATATATTAGCCAATGAGCAGAAAGCGAGATCTAGATTTTTATTTTGTTCGTATTGTAGGGTGAGCACAGTGTGAGTACATGTGCTTTTGAGAAATAGCTTAAATTATGATCTTTTGTTTCACTTATGTCTGCGAAAAAGGTAAAATACTCATGTATTTTTTAAAAATCGTACACAGATGACTTTCCTTATGTTATTTCCTCAAGGAAATGTAATACATTTTTGATGGGTACCGTTTGTTACTGCGATTTTTCGATTTCGCACGATGGAAGGGCTGATATTCTCAAATATGTGCGTACACAAAAACACAGGACAACATGAAAAAAATGAAATTTTTTTTTGTGGAAACAAAGACTTAATAAGTTATTAATGCAGAATGCCTGTTCTCTACTTTTTTACTGGAGCACAATCTACAATTGAATGCATTGGATCATGCTGCAGTTTCATTTAGAAAAATGTGTCCTGATCGCAAAATTGCTAAATACTCAAGTGCAACAACCAAAATAACTGCAGTTGTCAAAAAAAAAAAAAAAAAAAAAAAAAAAAAAAGAGTATGAAAAATAAATCTTTGATAATACTGATTCAAAACTGTTTCCAGTTTATATTTCTTTTTTTAATTTTTGTAGTTTACTTTCTATCCTTCTTTTAGAAGAACATTCGACAGGCTTTAATAAAGCACCTAATTATTAAAACTTTAAAGGAAAATGCCATTCCTCTAGACAATTGCTTAGCACTTGATGCCGATAATGCATCAGTAATGGCAGGCTTGAAGGCTGCTGTTGCACACATTTTAAAAAAGGAAAATTCAGATGAAACATGTATGTACATGCCGGCTATTTTAAAGTAATGTGTAGTGTCGTAGGTTGGCAAGTATGTAGCTGAAATATTTTCTGTGCTTTCTTAATAATTCATGTTTTTATTGAATTGTACTTCATTTTTATTTTCATTGCACTGTAACTCCATATTACTTTTATTATCTTAAGGTTTTGAATTGTTTTGTTTTGAATTGAATGGTGAAAGTAATTAATTTTGTTTGAACTGAATTTTTGATTTTTTAATTACATTTTGTAATGTGCAGGCAAATAAAGTTTGTTTTCGTTAACTAATTAGGGATCTGATGTCGTGGATTCAGAGTATGATGAGCCTTGTGTTTTCTGAGGAATTAGCAAATGATGTCACTGGCGCCGAAGCCTTGTTAGAGAGACACCAGGTTAGTGTTAAATTATATTCCCTAATATAAGAAGTCTGTTTGCTGTTGTATGTAAGATTTGAATACATTTTCATGTGCAGATTTTTCCAGTTCATTGTTAAATTAGCATTTTTGATACCACATTTTATTTTTCTTATTAGGATAAGAGAAATTTTGTTTGCATGACTGCATATAAAATTCCTTATTTTATTTCAAAATTTGATCTTTTTTATAGAACTACCGTTCTGAGATTGATGCTCACTATGGTATCCCACAGGTATTCAGATAGCAATAAAATATTTGAGCTTGATTGAATTAACAGCAACTGTATTTAAACCTTTTTTTTTTTTTTTTTTTTTTTTGTAAATTTACCCAACTGCACTAAAACTGCTGTGCAACTTTTTCTCATGCCTAATATTTTTTCTCTTTTAAGAGCACAATGAAGCTGCTTAATTTATTAGCTGTTGTTATATTGACACTTAATAAAATAAATGATTCTAAAGTAAATGCAATTTTAGGAATAATTTTTAAAATGCTTTTTTGACATCTATATTCAGGGGAGAAAAAAGAAGCTCATTTGCTTATAAATACTTTTAATTTTATAGACATAAAAAATTTTAAGTATAACATTTAATGTTAAGTATTGTATGGAAGAAAGTGCTATAAAAATTTGAATTTTTTTATTGAGGCTTAGAGTGATTTTTACTAATTTAAGTATGTGAGTTGTATGCTTGCATGGGAATACTTTGCTATGTGTAGTGTTTATTCATATATGTGTGTATATTAAATTAATTTTTAGCTTTCAAATAAATGCTTATCTAATAGCTTGTATTCCAAAATTCAGGATGCTTTTATAGATTGGTATATTTTAATATACTTAACTGTGCTTGCATCAAAGAGAAAAGTAGAGACTTTATAGCATGCAGTAGAAAAATTATATTCCTATACATGGGAAAGTAGAAAGATTTTATTATGTGTCTTGTCTGTAATCAGATTAGCTCACCAGCAGCCAAGTGGGAAAGACCACTCTACAGTGGTTATTGCATTCCAGGTGTAATTCCTGGGGTCAGAATGAGCAAGCTGAATTGATGTTTTCTTGATGTGTTACGTAAATATGAACTTACTTTTCACATAAATTTCACCACAGAGAAACTGCATTATTAAAGTATGTTGAAGATTCAAATATAGTTCAAAAAAGAAATTCCTTGTTTTTTAATGAAATTACTATTCATTTTAAACTCTCTCCATTACACTTACATTTATGTAGGTGCTTATGAATGTATTAAAACTTGTGATATATTTTTATGTGCATGCATGTTAATATTCATTGATTTATGTTTGGTAAAACGTGTTTAAACTTTTGCATTCCTATGCATAGGAACATCGTACAGAAATAGATGCAAGAGCTGGGACCTTCCAAGCTTTTGAAATGTTTGGCCAGCAATTACTACAGAGTGGTCATTATGCTAGTGTTGAAGTCCAAGAAAAACTTGAGAAAATGAACGATGCCAGACAAGAATTGGAGAGGTATTATGAATTTAATTATCTTTTATTTATTTATATGATCAGTTGTTTGAAATAACATATTATTATAAAGTAGTTAAAAATCTCAGTTGCATGAAATGTATAAAATGGTTTTTAAAAGTGTATGCAAGTTTTGTTACTAGTGGGATTTTGAAAAATAAACTGTTTTATAACTTCATATTACTGTTCTGTATAAGTACAGTTTTAACTTGTTCTGTTAGTAATTAGTAATTCATTGTAACAATGTCTTTAATTTATTCATTTTGCTTAATTTGATTAAAACTTTATTTTGTGACTGGATATATAAAGTTGGTCAAAATATTTTATCATATGGTCAAAGTTCACTGCTTATCCCTCTCTAAATTTTGCATTTTAACCCTTAACTGGTGACCTGTACTATTTGTGATGCAGCCTGAAACATGGTTTCTGGGAGTCTGCATTTTTAAACAGAATTATGATAGTAATTAATTAATAAATTCAACTTTTTTTCAGAACCAAATGAATTAAATAGCTGCTATATATTAAAGATAAGAACTTATTTCTAAAGGTTAAAAAAAAAAAAAAAAAAAAAAAAAAAAAAAAAAAAAAAAAAAAAAAAAATTAGCAAGGCACAAAGTAAAAATGTCATCTGTAAATACTCCTTTTTGAGTTTGATAGAGGATATAAAAATGAGAAAACCCATAAATTAAGCATGTATTTTTTTATTTTTTTTGCAAAAGTCAAACTAAAAGGTTAAAAATCAGCTTTACTGTCTTTTAAAGCATTTATTGCACATCAGTTCTGAGCACTGCAAACAAGACTGCCTTTTTCAATACTGTAAGCATAAGTATGTTGTTTTTAGGTGGATTCTTAGATTTCTTGATGCAGATGCCATTTTTATGTTTTTGCTAAATTTGCTGAACATAAACAAAAATGTGTCATCTTGGAGACTACTTATGAAGATGATGTACCATCACAGAAATGTGGCAGCTCAGAGGTTACTCTTGATCTTCTAGCATGAATAATCTCTCAAAGAAAACTGGGATCGTCATATTTATTTTGCTCATATAGGTCAACATATATGCGACACTGTATGCCTGTTAGTGAATTCATTAGTGAGTTAGAAATTTTTAGGGGAAAAGTCTGCCAGATGCACCCATTATGAATTAAATATGCTTATTTACCATTTAATCATCCACTTGTTTAATACCACTTGTTAATTATTTAATGTATATTTAATCATTTAATCATCCACTTGTTAATTATTTAATGTATATTGTTAGGAAGGATGTTTGGCTTTATAGTCTAGTTTTTGTGTAAAGTTAACTTGTTAAGGTAAGTAATCTGTTGATGTTTCAATGAGGTTTATTAATTGCATAAAATTCTCATTTGCTCAGAATCATCAAGTGGCCTTTAAAGATATGAATTTTGCATTTAAAGAATGGCAGAATGTGGCATTTAAATGTATAAAACATAATGTATAAAATATATTTGAATATGATTACAATTTAATCAGATTGTTTTTAAATGTTTTTAAATGAAAACTTAATTATACTAATTTTAATTTCTCTGCATTTTGAAAAAGTGTATTAAAAACTTCTGTATATTTCCATAAATTAAAACTTTTTGTATTATTCTTCAGGGCTTGGATTGCTAGAAGAATGAAGCTGGATCAGTGCTTAGAGTTGCAGCTGTTCTATAGAGATTGTGAACAAGCTGAGAATTGGATGGGTAGTCGTGAAGCTTTCCTTAGTTCAGATGACATGGGTGGTGATAATGTTGAATCTCTCATTAAGAAGCATGAGGATTTTGATAAAGCTATCAGTGCACAGGTAGAATTTAAAAACTTTTTCATTGTTTCATTGTTTTCGTTTTCCTTAGTTTTGTATTAAATTCATGTGCTGATCCTTATTCAAACCTTTTTTTTTTTCCCATAGGAAGAAAAAATTTCTGCTCTTGCTGCTTTAGCCGATCAGTTAGTTGCTGCTGATCACTACGCATCTGATGCGATTAATGAAAAGAAAGATCAGGTTCTTGAGAGGTGGCATCATTTGAAAGATAATCTTATTAAGAAGCGATCCAAGTTAGGAGAGTCTATGACATTGCAACAGTTCAGTCGAGATGCTGATGAAATCGAAAACTGGATTACGGAGAAACTGCAAATGGCTATGGACGAATCCTATAAAGATCCTACTAATATTCAAAGTAAACACCAAAAACATCAAGCTTTTGAAGCAGAACTGGCAGCAAATGCTGATAGGATACAGTCTGTATTGGCTAATGGCCAGAATCTAATTGATCAGCACCAGTGTGCTGGTTCTGAAGAGGCTGTTCAGGCTCGTCTGAGCTGTTTGGCTGAGCAGTGGGAACATCTCACAAAGAAAACAATAGAAAAAAGTATAAAGATCAAGGAAGCCAATAAGCAGAGAACATTTAATGCTGCTGTGAAAGACATTGATTTCTGGTTGAGTGAGGTTAGTAATTATTGCATGACATTTACATAACTCTTTGTAAATTAGTCAAACAGTGTTTAAATTCTTCATTATTTGAATCAGTAGTCAAGTGATTGTGGTGTAGTATTTGAAGAAATAGAAGATTTAATAATATTTACATTCTTATCAAACACATTCCAAAGCTTCATAGCATGGCATGATAAGTTCAATATATATAGTTATACATATCAAGCAGGCCATTGTTCTGAACCATAATTATATTAAAAATTGCTTTTAGATGCTGCTTTTTCCCCCTCAAACTGCTTCGTTCTTTTTGCTGTTACTTTCCGTGCTTACAGAATAACTTCTTAGTTTGATATTAGCTTTTTTGGGAGTGGATGTTTGTTCTTGGTAAACAAAAAACTAGTGTTTTACAAACAAATTGAATGCTTAATTTATAATGGTTGGAGTGGCAAAATCCTCCTCCTTTGTAAACAAAACTGAAATCTTCATCCTTAGATACCACTCTGCTAGTATTTAAACAACTGAAATGTTGATTATGGTAGAACATATTCATCTACTCTTCTTTTGACATATAATATACATCTCTGCGTGCTTCTACATCAGGGTTTTTCAAACTGGGGGTCATCAAAAATTTTAGCAGTTTTGATATTTCTAACTTATTATAATAATTTTACAATTACCAAATATTTTTACACAATGTATCTGAAAACAGATAAAGATAAGACAGTATAGACAAAGGAAAAAACGAAAACGTTTCGACGTGCTGTCATTTCATCTGTTACTTATTTAAAATTTTCACATTGTTCTATGTCTTAAAATTAGAAATTAAAGTTAGTGACCTAAATCTGCAATAGTATATTTACAGTACAAGTGAAAAAATTGACAGTTCAACTCCTGTGTGTGCCGGATTTGAGCAGTACTTATAAGGCCTCACAAAATTTTTGTAAATATTATTGGGTCCTGGGGGTTGCAAAAAAATCTCGTGATAAAAAGGGGTCGTGACTGAAAAAAGTTTAAGAAACCCTGTTCTACATCATACCTTTATCAGTTATAAATTGCAAACTTAGATTATTATTTTTATTACAAATTTATATTAATGTTTTATAAAATGTATACATTCGTATCAAAAATAGGAATGATATTTTTGTTAAATATAAAGAAGTTGATTGTTTTAAACAGAATATTGGGGAAAGGAAATAAAAGTGTAAAACATTTGTAAACAAATTTAAAACTAGAAGATTGTCTACTGGTGGGGCAATAACAAGGAAACTAGGATTTATTTATAATTAGGAAATGTATCATTTTAGTCCATCAAGCTCAAATTAATTAAAAATACGTTACTAAAATGTATCATTTAGTAAATGTGGTATTAAATAAATGTATTTAAAAGTCTGCCCTAAGACCATTAAAGCTCTCTAATGCAAACCATAAACTTTCATGAACCTTGTAGAAAAGCAAAGAAACTTTCCTGAAAGTCAAGTTGTCTATGTAAATTAAAACTTTTAAAATAATATCTGACTGGTAGGTAATTAAAAATTATGTAATCAAAGTTTTGTGTATTTAAATGAAGTAAAATTGAGAAATGATAAACTTGAAATGAAGAAACTATAGCGACTAATTGAAAACTCTTCGAAAAAACAGCCTTAAAGAAAGCCACTAACCAAGAGAGTTTTGAGAAGAAATTAAATAAGATTACCAGTAAAATAAGATTACCAGATTTGAGAAGGTAAATGAAATAATAACTAAAAGAGAGATTAAAGATGAGTGGGCCATACCAAATGTTTGTGGCTAAATTTTTGCTCCCTCTGTATTTGTAATTTTAACTGCATTTAAAATCAACTGTCAGTGTGGTTGATATTTAGATTTACCATAATTATGATGCCATTAAGAGGAATTTGAAATGCAGTTGTTTATGTAGTTTGGCATTAAATGCTAGTGTATTTCTGTGTTTTGAGAAATGATGAGAATTCAGTTTATGCTACTTGGTTAGATTGATTGCCCATGTGTAATGTTAATATGATTCAGTTTTTCTTAGAAATCCACCTCAAAGTCATCTTTTCCTCTTGACAAAATAGCCCTCAAGTGCTTTGGCTTAGTTTATTAACCATACATCCAGTTATGCAACTTAACGATCTGCAAGATTTTTTTTACTCCTTCATAAATCCTAAAAGTGTTTCTGAATGTTGAAAGGAAAGCTGTAATTGTAACAGTTTTATAAGAGCATCATTTGCAAAATTAAATTTTTTATTAAAAACAAATAATATGCAAATATAACTTTATGCAAAAATCCTACAAAAATATTAAACATGAATATTTTTTTTAAAATGTAGCATTAGTTCCAGATATCATAAATAGTTCACTGTTTTGAAACAGTTAATTCAAGGATTGAAATCTCTTTGCAGATTTAAAATACCGATATTTCTTTGTAACCGATAAAATGATTGAGAAGTACATGGTGTTATTATGTGTTCCAGGAATTTTTACATTAAGCTATGTGCATAAAATAATTTATATTGCAAAATATTTTCTATTTATTTACAAAATTATAAGTTTGTTTAGTTTTAAATATTATTTCGTATCCAAATATTACAGCTGAATGTCTCTAATTTTTTTCATGGCCTGTTTTATTAGCAAAAGTATATTTTCTGTGTTTAACTTAATGAAAAATATGAAGTACATGTATTTTAAGTTCGTTGGAACTTTTCTTTTTCTTAATAGGTTGAGTCTTTATTGAAATCTGAAGAATCTGGAAAAGATTTAGCGTCAGTTCAGAATTTAATCAAAAAGCATCAGCTAGTTGAAGCAGATGTTAATGCACATGAGGATAGAATTCGTGACATGAATAGTCTTGCTGACAGCTTGATAGAATCTGGACAGTGTGATGCTGCTGTGATTGAAGAAAAGCGCAGTTCAATAAATGAACGCTACAACAGAGTAAAAACTCTTGCTGGCCACCGAAGAGCTAGACTGAATGAAGCGAACACATTACACCAATTTTTCAGAGATATTGCCGATGAAGAATCATGGATTAAGTATGTTTGCAAAATTATAATTTAAACTTTTTGTATTTACTTTGAATATGCATTGTTTTACCAGAAGATTTTGCTTATAAATATTTTCTCTAAACTGCTCATGATAAAGCTCACAGCATCTGTAATCTGCTCTTCCAACAGTTTTCTTGAGGCTTGTAAAATTCCTCTAAAAGTGCTTGGGAAAAGTAAATTTATTCTGAGCACATCTGAATGCTGATCATGTCGCACTGTTATGATAGTGGTGATTAAATTAAGCTCTGTTGAGGATTAAAATTCCTCTAAAAGTGCTTGGGAAAAGTAAATTTATTCTGAGCACATCTGAATGCTGATCATGTCGCACTATTATGATAGTGGTGATTAAATTAAGCTCTGTTGAGGATTAAAATTCCTCTAAAAGTGCTTGGGAAAAGTAAATTTATTCTGAGCACATCTGAATGCTGATCATGTCACACTATTATGATAGTGGTGATTAAATTAAGCTCTGTTGAGGATAAGTCTAGGAGCATAAAAGAGTTCACATGACCATAAATGTTAATGCAATGTTAATGTGAGAATAGATTTGGCAAGGTTCAGATGCATTGTTGAATAACTTGTTTTTTCCTAGGTTTCTTTTCAGGTCATCTTTTTCAGAGTTCAAATGGAATTAATTTTTCTTTTAGGCTCATTTTTCATGCTTGCTATTTTATAAATCCTTCCTGAGACATATCACCCTCAGAACAAATAAAACTTTGTAAATAAGAGATAATTTGTATCAAATTAATAAAATATAAGATTTTGATTAATTATTTTATCT